TTTCGCATCTTCTACTTTTCTTGTCTTTTTATTTTTTCAAATTTCGTGGGTTGAAAAAGATCGTATCCTTTTTTACACAGAAAAAGTATTTATTATAAAGAAAGGCGGAAAGATTATTATAATTATAATGATACCTTTTAATGGTCATAAGTCATCAATGGAAAACAAACTTATGGTGGTGGGTCCACTAAATATTTGGTATATCATTATTTACAATACTTTTAGATGTCTAGGGTCACTCGTCTTATAATATACTTTCCATCACATCAATTTTCCACTTTCGCTTATTTTTTTAATCCATTATTTTTCAAAATGAGTATTTTAAAGGGCACTTATCGGATAATCGAGCGAAAGAAAGATTTTATCCATTTTCAGTCCCGGCGACTTTCCTAGATTTACGTGCCACCAATACTTTTAAAATTAAACTAATTTATATCGAGTACGATGCACCAAAGTCCAAAAGATAATAGTTAACACGGTACTTTTCTAAGGACACGATTTGATATTTCGTTACTTCTCGGAATAACTAGTTTCTTTATTAGAATAGATTAGTTCCTCTATATACGCATCTAACACATTTCAGTGTCCAATAATATAATGATCCTTTTTCTAATAACCAGTTCTAACTATAAGAAAGACATAGATTAAAAAAAGTACGCATATTGTTTTCGCTGACCATCTAAGATTTCTTCGACCCTGCGAGTCGGTTATCAAGAAAACAGATCGTCGTGTGTGAATTAAATGCACCGTACAGATTAAACATATTTATGTATCTTACATCTTACTCTATATATATAAGGTGCATGGGGATGCGGAATTTACCTATTTTAAATTTAAAAAATGGGTCAATATCACGAAAAACCCGAAACTGGTACACTTGTGACAAAATTACTTAAAACTAATTTTTTTTATCACCAAAAATCTCCACCAAAAGCTCCAAACTGGTATACTTATGAAAAATTTACCCTCCTTTTATTTTCGTTAAATTTGATTAATACCACAGAAAAGCACAACTTGTACACATGTAGTAGACAATCAGTATACCCGTCAATTACCACGTATCATCTAACTCAGCAATAAATAATAAATTTATCACGAATATATTAATTTGGGATCTTTTGGGGTAAATATATTATAAATATGCTAATTTAAGGTTTTTTCGTGGTATGAAAGTACATTATAATTTGGGAAAATTTCAGTTAAGGACCCCAAGTGAGGTCAAATTCTCAAAAAAGGGTCCAAAGTGAACATTGTGTCAAATAAGGGCCTGAAGTACTCAACCAGTCTCAAATAAGGACCCGAAGTGCCCAAAAAGTATCAAATAAGAACCGAGTCCCCTACGGTCAAAATACACAAGGCGAGAAAGTTCTTGCCAAGACCAGAACAGATTCTTTTAATTTTTTTATTATTTTCTTTCTGTTTTTCCTTTTCTATTTTTTTTCTTTTCCTTTTCTTTTTTTTTTCTTTTCTTCCTCCGCAGCCATAGCCTCGGGCCGGCGGAGGTCGCCGCCTCAGGCGAGCGCCGCCTCGCGGCGTCGGGCGAGGACCGCCTCGCTCGGGCCGGGCGAGGCCGGGCTCGCCGGTTGCCGGCGAGGTCGAGCCTCGCCGGATCTGGCGAGGGCTCGACCTCGTCGGCCTCGGGCGAGGCCGGGCTCGCCGATGCCGGCGAGGTCGAGCCTCGCCATCTCGGCGAGGGCTCGACCTCGTCGGCCTCGGCGAGGCCGGCCTCGCCAGTTGCCGGCGAGGTCGAGCCTCGCCGAGATCCGGGCGAGGGCTCGACCTCACCAAGATCGGGCGAGCCGGCCTCGCCGGTGCAGCGAGGTCGAGCCTCGCCAGATCTGGCGAGGGCTTGGCCCCGCTGGCCTCTGGCGAGGGTTCGGCCCCGCCGGCCGCTGGCGAGGCTCGACCTCGCTGGCCTCGCCCGACGCCGAAGTTCGTCCGGTCAAAGCAAAGTCGAAGATCATCTCGCTTCCTCTCGATGCTGCTCAAGGCGGCGATGCAGGCCCTGGGTCCTTGGAGGAGGCCCCGCTCCTCCTCCCACGGCTCGACCGGACGAACTTCGAGGCCGGAGAGAGAGAGGGCTCGGCCTCGCAGCAGTGGCGGGGCCGAGCCTCGCCTCGCAACCGGCGAGGCCGGCTCGCCGACGCCGGCGAGGTCGAGCCCTCGCTAGATCCGGCGAGGCCGGCTCGCCGCCCCAAGCGAGGGCGGCCTCGCCCGACACCGGCGAGGGCGGCCTCGCCGAGGTCGGCGAGGGCAACCTCGCCCGGCCCCAGTGAGGCGGCCCTCGCCCGACGCCGGCGAGGGCGACCTCGTCCGGCCCGGAGTGAGGCGGCCCTCGCCCGACGCGGCGAGGGCGGCCTCTCCCGAGGCCGGCGACCTCCGCCGGCGAGGGCGGCCTCTCCTGAGGCCGGTGACCTCCGCCGGCCCCGGCTATGGCCGGCGGAGGAAGAAAAGAAAAAAAAAAGGAAAGGAAAAGGAAATGAAAAAAAAACACAAAAGGAAAAATAGAAAGAAAATAATAAAAAAAATTAAAAAGTACTGTCTAGGTCTTTAACAAGAACTTTTCACCGCCGAGGACCCAGTCCTTATTTGAGATTTTTTGAAAGACTTGGTCCTTATTCGGCATCGATTGAAGACTGCACTTTATTCGACACAATATTAACTTTTGACTTTTTTTAAGAATTTGGCCTCACTTGGGTCTTTAATTGGAATTTTTTCTTATAATTTGATAATATATATATATTTTTTGTTATGTTGGGGGAAGGGGGATGATGAGGAAGGGTGATGATTACATTGATCAGTAGGCATCATAACAAAAGGGTGGTGCGGTGGATTCCCCTCCCCCACCATCGTAATGGGACTCCCCCCAAAAAGTCAACGCCCTTCTCTCACTCTCTTTTACTTATTCTCTCTCTCTCTCTTCCCCCACAGCGCACTACCCCTTTTTGTTTTTCGGGGTTTGGAGTGTAGTGCGCACACCCCCCCGCGCGTGCACTTCGCCGATCCCCAGGGCCAGGTCGGGGGGAGCTGCGCTAACCTGCGCCTGCGCCTGCCCCCCCCCCAAATGTATTACTACCGCCGGCCGCTCTCCTCCGCGGGCGGCCCCACCGGTCTCCCGTGCGCCCTCGGCGTCTCCCTCTGTCAGTTGGCATGACTTTTCAGGACACTCGTGGGACGACGAAACGACTCATTAAAAAAAAAAAAAAACACACAGAAGATGAGCACGTCGAAGATCCTAAAACTTATCGCGAATGTACAATCTAGTCCTAAAATTTTCAAAAAAGTGCAATCAAGTCCTAAAATTTGTCAAATTGGTACAATCAATTCCTTTCGTTGATTGTATTTTTTTGAAAATTTTAGGATTTGATTGCACTTTCGTGACAAGTTTTAAGACTTCATTGCACTTTTTTGAGAGTTTTAGGACTAAATTACATTTTCGTGACAAGTTTTAGGACTTTATTGCATTTTTTTGAGAGTTTTAGGACTAAATTGCCCTTTTATAATGAGTTTCGGGATTTCCAATCGCTAATCCTTAAAAAAAAATTGGGGTTGAAAAAGAGCGATTGCCTTCGAAGCTCGTGGGGTCATTCTCACGAGCTGCCGGTTTGACTCCCAAAATCTATGTAGCTCGGACCCCCGCAACTGTAGACTATATACTTTTTCAAATTCGCAGATAGTCAATGTGAATCACCTGGTTGGATTTGAAAAAACACCCGAATGGTCCTGTTTTGGTTTGGTGGGAGGGAGGTTTGACCATCACTATTGATTGGGATGGATGGACTAGTTTCATGGGTAGAGCATTAAACTTGAAAGATTAATAGGGGTACCCGTATCGTCTTTGAGAGTGAAAAAGATAAGATAGAATGCCCGTATTAAGTAGCGGCTAATTTCGGAAAAGATAACCGACAGGTCGTTCGAAATGTACGGGCGCTATCAATGGGATTAAGCTAGAATTTGAAGCTTGGCAATAAATATATACCGCCAGAAAAAGGGCCGGTCACCTCGGGAATCGTGGGAAAAGAAGTTTCAATTGATGAAATTTCCGTTCAGAAAGAAGTCGCGGTAATAAATGTTATTTGCCTTGAAAAATATTGAAATGAATGCTCCCCTAGTATCCGGCAATTGCTCCCCTGCATCTGAGCACAGGGAATCGTGGGAAAATAAGTTTCAATTGATGAAATTTCCGTTCAGAAAGAAGTCGCGATAATAAATGTTATTTGCCTTGAAAAATATTGAAATGAATGCTCCCCTAGTATCCAGCAATTGCTCCTCTGCATCTGAGCACACGGCTATCCAAGCATACACTCAAACTTCAATTACAATGACCGACTGCATATTACGGTTCACATACCTAGCTGTTGTGATCGTTACAAGTCATGGGTAATTCTGATCGAGAGTCGGGAAACGTAACTCGATAGAATTCAATTTCGCCAAATTTTGCATCTCCCAAGATACACAATTTAACATAGCAAGGACATGTCACTACATCAATGACCGATTCATTTGGTTTTTCCGATCATTTCCATGATGGGGTCCTTGGTGGGGATGAACGGACGGAGGAGAGAGCTCGCGAGGACGGGAACTACCCTGCACACGACCGCACCCAACCGGCCCCGCGACTCGATAGAAACGACCGTTTGGGGGTGCACTTTGGATTTGATTAAATTGCGAGAAGTCAACCCCGTTGCCAGGGGGGCTGGGGGGGGTGCGTGCGAAGCCGTGCGCAGGATAAGAGGAGAGAGGAGAGAGAAAGGAAGGGGAAGAAGCTGTCTTTTCTCTCTCTATCTTTCTGCTGCTGCGGCTTCACTTTGGCAAAAGCGTCCAATTCGTCCTTTCGTATTCCTTCCTTCCTTCCTTCCTTCCTTCACAGTGACGCAGAGTCACGCGCGCAGCTTTAGAATGTTAAAAGGTCAGCGTCACCTCCACCACCTCTTCCTCCTCCTCCTATAAACCTCCCCCTCACTCCCTCTCTCTCTCTCTCTCTAAAACTCTCTCTCTGTTAAAGCTCTCTGGTTTTCCTTCAGAGGAGGTGGAGAAGATGGACGGGCTGCCTCCCGGTTACCGCCCCAACTTCGGCGTCTGCCTCGTCAATTCCGACAATCAGGTCCCCCCTCCCGTGACGTGATCTCTGTTTTCTTCTTTCATGTTTCCGCTTGGAGCAGAGTGACTGTTTCTTGTTAGTATGATGATCGTTCTTCCGCGGCTCGATTTCGCATCTAGCTATGCGGATTCTTGTGCTCCTGTGGAGATTTTTGGAGGGTTGTTTGAGGTTTGTACTTGCTGTTTATGGGTGTGCTTGTTCTGATGTCTTGGAGGAGATTCGACTTTTGAGTGGAAGATAAGATTTTTTGGAGTTAGATTTTGAGGATTCCTGTAGTCGTTCGACCAGTTTCTTCTTTGGGTATCTGGGAGTGGTTTGCGATTGCTCATTCTTTGAATGGAAGATGGTCGGACTTTTCTTGGGCGTGTACTGAATTTTGCTCTGCTGCTGTTTCAGTGGTTAATCGTGAAAAAGTACAGAGACAACAGAGGCTTTCGTTGTGGGTCCGTAACAACAGTAACTCTGTATTTTCACCGTGTCTTGAGTATCTCGGTACCATTGATTTTCATCTTGTTTGAGTGATTTATCTCAGTAACTTTTCATTTTGGAGTCAATCCCAGGAGAACAGAGTAAGTACGGGGCACAAGACCGTAAGAAATTTTTTTTTACGAGTACCTTGCTAATTTTGGAAAAAAGTTACCTGAAAAGCTGGCTTCTGGGAAAAAATGCACTTGCGCTATAATTTGGACCGCTCTATGAGGTTTAAAATCCGCTTCGCACGCTTTTTGCGAAAAGACTAGGAAAAGCCAACACATTCTTGTTATGTTTCCTTTCTTTTTCTTTTTTCCTTTTTTTTAGTTTGTGGTTTGTGTGGTTTAATAGCTGCCAATTGCTGATTCAGTGGTGCGGTGAAATTTTCATAAATTTTGCCGATGTTAATGGCATGAAAGATCAGAATGCGCATGGCTCTGAATATTTGATCATTGATCAAAATGAGCAACTGGAATTAAAAAGCACATTCTCCTAGGTTCATATCCAAATCAAATGAACTCCGGTGCTCTACTTATATCATATAAATTGTTTCCTTGTGTGAACTTTTTTGCATATTAGATATGGTAAATAGCTGAAGCTACTACCCATGTGACGTGATTTTTCCACTTATAAGATATTGCGGGAGGTAAATTATGGGAAAACAAATGACATTGGAATTTTGTGGCAGGTTTTTGTTGCTTCCAGGTTAAATGTTCCAGGAGCTTGGCAGATGCCTCAGGTGAAGTGCACTAGCTTTTTATATCTCCTCTGCTTATATTTTACTGGCATTTCCAGCAAGATGGTGATAGTGCAATGTCTACATACATCAGCATATTGAATGAACAGGCATCTCTAGGGATAGTACAGCGTACAAGATTTGCTCAGAAGCACTCACCATTCCCCTTTTTGAGTTTTTTTTTTTTAATTTTTTACGGGTTAGAGATTAGTTTCAGCTGCTATGTTATCGAGTTAGTGTCCTCTTTTAAAAGCATTTTGTGTGTTTTGCTGCTATTTAAGGCATTTCCTGATTGAGGTAAAAAAAGGATCCTAACAGATCTTTTTCATACGTATGTCGATGAATTTCAAATTGCTTCATTTGCATCCATAATGGATTCACTTGGTGGTTCGACTAGTCAACGTTTTCCTTGTAGCTTTCAGTTCTCATCAGTTTTTCACAAAGAAAAAGAGTGTTTGTTCATTATTTTCTCCATACTTTCGTACCCTTCATAAACAAGATAATTTTCTGATCCTAGTTATTCCAATATCTGGGTTCATATTAACCTAGTCCTTCCAAAAGCTGATCCTAAGTCAATCTAATACCTTCTTGACTTCTTAATACATGTTTTCATTAAATCAGAATTCTTCATGTTGATGAGTCTTTTGGGACAGGTACATCACACATGGAACTTACAATACGAGGGAATGCATATTCACTTAATTTTTAATCTTTGCCCGATTTTTCTTGATAACTAGAGTAGTGATTATATTTTTTTTCCGAGCTCCTAGAAGCATGTATGAAAATAAGCTTCTTAAAATGCCTTTGACGAGATTACTGGTGTCAGGGGGCTATTGAAGATGACGAGGAGCCTAAACTTGCTGCTATCAAGAAATTACGTGAAGAAACTGGTGTAGCGTCTGCTGAGATTATTGCCGAGGTATTAATCTATTATTCTGCTTGTCTTCTCTTGTTTTGTGATTTATATGTAATACATGACACTTGCTAGTACTCAGAGGTGTTGGAACATGGGTAAGAAAAAGTACTTTGCTAAGAAATTAAGAATGAAAAGTTATCATGGAGTTACATATTGATAAAGTTCTGGGTCTGTTGTTGAATGCATACAATATATGTTTCAATGAGGACAAAGGTGAATTTATATGATGTAGAAAGTAAAATTGCTCATTTTAGGTAACAAGGCTGGAAATGAGAAGAAGATCAAGAGAGCTGAAGTCAGCAATGCGTGTTTCTTTTTCTTTTTTTTTATTGTTCTAATTTGCCTCTGTCGCACCTCACCTAGAAACTATTTGTGCACCTTCTTTGCTACAAATTCCAGCTACCATAATTCCCATGCTGAAGGTATCACAGTTATTTTAACCTTTTCACACCATATTTTGACTCTTCCAATCTTGTTTGAAGTGTTTCAGTGGAAGTCTTGGGGGTATCTTCTCATTAGTTATCAGAAAATAATTAATTGAATGAGTGGTTGATTTTTTTCCTTTTGACGATGCATTTTTGACAGGTTCCAAATTGGTTGACCTATGACTTCCCTCCCGCTGTGAAGGCCAAAGTGAATCGTCTCTGGGGTGGTGAGTGGCATGGGCAGGCACAAAAGTGGTATGCTCTCCCTTCCTCCCTGCTAAGCATACTTCATTCATGTCTTGACTCTCTTATAGCTCTGTGTAAATGTTCACGAAATTCATAATAACACAATGTTACTTAACCTCTCTCTCACATGTATGACCTCAATGTCTTTCTTTTCTTGACCATCTATTTTCACATGGTATGGCCACACCGTGTAAGTCACATGAGGGGTTGTCATGTTAATTTGCTATTTGTGATTGGCGAGCTGTTTATCTACACTGCCTTAGTTGCTTTGCCTGTTTAGACTAGGACCTTACTTTGATCTGGTACGTTCAGCTGGAGTTTCTCGTGTCCTCATGAACTGAAAATTTTAAGCAAGACGAGAACTCTTAAACATAACCTACATTTGACGTTTGAACACTAGAACTGCACTTAGCAAATCATTGTTTCCTCTTTCTTTTGGATGAAAAACTGCAAGCAACGATGGTGTCTCTGATTCTCTTTCAGGTGTGGTAGCATCTTGTTGTCCTTCCTTGTTTTTTGTTTTACATGATAGATGCATCTCCAACCCAAACAAGCTGCTCTATGGAGTCCTTGACTATGATTTGTTTGAACTTGTTGTATGTTGGAGACTACATCCGCTATAAAGGAACGTGCTGATGTGATTTTGTTTTCTTGTAATGGGACAATCATGATTTTTATCCATCTTCAGATCACTACGGTCACTCATCATAGATCTATTTGATGCTCTGAAGTGAAAGGAGAATGAATGGCTTCAGAGTTTGCTGTTGATTGAATTTCAGTCTGAGCTTTTGAATGTACTTGGTTAATTGGCAGGTTTCTCATGAGACTGACAAAAGACAATGACAGCGAGATCAACTTAGCAAATGGTGAAGCCGACACAGAGTTTGCAGAGTGGAAATGGGCAAGCCCAGAAGAAGTCATAGAGCAGGTGTGCTTCGACGACTGTCATGTTTAATTCGTTGTTTATTTCCAGGAATGCCTTTGTTTCAGAACCTTATTTCGAAAAAAATCATTGACAGGCCGTGGACTACAAGAGGCCACAATATGAGGAAGTCATGAAAACCTTCGAGCCCTATCTCAATGGAAGCGACATATCAGCTAAATGTAAATCAACAAAATGGTGAAATTTTTGGCTTCATGGGTAGATCTCTCTTTTGTTCATAGGTAAAAGGTTTGAACGTAGTGGTGCGCTCTGCACTTTGTAAATGAACCAGCCAGTTTAATTTGTAAGCTTTGGAGGTCAACTTTAGCATAATCCTGTCCTTAAGTTTTGCTAATCGATCTGTCTTTTTTGTCACCGGTGCCTCTGGCATGTAGTCTTGAACTCATTCGTGTCCTAGCTTGCTTGGAGACTCCCCAGAAACGAAATTAAAGTCTGAATTCATTGTTCACTCACGGCCATTTGGTTAAATTCAAGCTATAACCTTTCACAGGGGTGAAATAGGATCATGGATTCTGACGGGGAAAGGAAGCACTGAAGTCTATATTACCTAGATTGCTATCGGCGAAACACCCGCTTTCATTTGCTTCAATCTGCTGCTCCTATTCGTCTTGCCTCTGCAGTCCGTTTTCGTCCGGTAAAACAAAACAGAAACCGTAGTAGACTCAGGCCTCGAAATCTGGTGGAGTTTGAAGTTCTGTTGTCTTTTTTCTTATGGTTGTTTTTGGCTAGACAGCCATAGATTCATTAGGAACAATGTTTTTTCAGCCGGCACTGAAGAGGAAGAAATTTTTCGTATTGGGTCTTCAACCTTTTTTCAGCCAGAGATTCCCTTTAACCTGGGGTATGATCAAGTCTAAATAGCCGCGTACCAAAAGGTCTTCAACCTTTATGCTCCAGGCCATATAATTTAATTCAAGGCATCGAAACTTCTTAGCACCCGATTTTGGACATTAAATAGCAGGTGTGAGTCACCTCATTTAGTCAGTACTACAGTCTTTGCCCATGCATAGTTATGGTTTGGGACCATCGGATGATCCCTGGTAATATATACCCAACCAGGGTCTTTGACAATGATAAGTCATTCCCCAAAAATTATTAACATGACTCTGTTTTCTAACTTATTTCTGCACTGATAATGTACATTCAGCTTTCCCCGCTTTCTTTTTATATGTATTATGATGTGAAAAGGTAACCCTCGCGCATTGCAAATTTTAGCGGCTCTTCTATTTGAGAAAGTATTAAGTGGTTAAAGTATCACTACGTCATAGGCTGACGTGGCATATACTTTTGAACTAAAAATCAACAAAAATCGACGTGTCCATGACATGTAAACAACAAAAAAACAATTAAAAGATCAGCTCTTTTTTTCTCACTCGTCTTCCTTTTCCGTTTACGGCCACCTCCTCCCTCCAGTCACCAGCGCAGTTGCTGGCGCTGCGTCAAAGCCGACCATTGCATCCATAGATCTTACTCTGTCCATCCATGGCAAGTGTATATTCAACACTTTCTGACAAAAAAAGAAAGAAGATATTCAACACTTGCAAACTTCTCGATGTCGTCCAATGTGGGTTTCCCCAAGGCTGGAATGAATACTCAAGTGTGAAACCTAATCCGTGGGTACGAAACTATTGGCTTTCCTCTCGGCTTATTCATACTCCTGTCCCTGATTTGGAGTTCGCCCACTAACTGCTGTGAGTTCCTCCACCCGACGAGTCGTGGCCTTAGATTTGGAGTTCGTCCTGGAGATGGACCATCAGCAAGTTCCTCTAGATCTGGAGACGGAGCAGCTCTTCGTTGGGAAGACCAAGCTTGGCGGCGAGTTCCACAAGGCCAAATCTAGATCGATCAAGCAACGCCATGCCCAAGCACGAAGACGGAAAGATGGCGGGCATACAAATATAACACCAGAAAAATAGATATGTCATGAATAATCATTAACTGATTATAATTTGATATGCTGGACTTCTTCCAACGACCATCAAGATTACATCAATATTTGCATCTTTCGCACGTCAACCCCTCTTACATTATCCAGTGCTGCCTCAGCCTAGAAACAAATGGTCTCTGCTACAAAACACCTAACGATAAAAATCTGGCCTATGGGTACTCCTCGGCACTGCAACAACTCATCGAGACTCCCAGTCCTTCAATTTCTTGCTTCCTCTGGGTTTCGATATGGGAGCATCCATTCCAGCCATCTTCGCATTGTACTTTGCCCTGAGAGGGTCATTGTAGGTCCAACTGCATCACAAGCAAACATCGAATTATGTCCAGTCTCAGGTAAGTGCACTGGAAACAAGACGGACTGCCATATCCATAGAAAGATGGCATCAATAGAACCAAAACAAACTTCCCTTTGCAGTTATTGATTTTTTAAATGTCCAGACCAAATAAAGGAACTTCGTTTTTCCATGAAGAACTCAGGAATGACAAATGAGTTCTCATGTACAATCCCCCTTGAACAACTTTAGACCGTAGCATTTAACATAACTCTTAACATATTGCAACAAGAATAAGCAGACCCGTACAATTCACCACGCGTCATGTCAAACAGCTGCTAGTTTTATCATAAAAAGATCACAATAAAAGTTAATAATTTTGACAAGCATAATATCCAGTTAACTTTGCTGTAGACACCCTCCATAGTCATCAAATTACTATTAAGAATGCACGTCAATCTCAATTACGCAAATAAGAGAGGTGTCCACAGGGTGTGGAGATGTAAGGAAGAGAATTAGGAGAACTACATCAGAGTGAAATAATCAATAGATAAGTCAAACTTACGGATTGTTCCAATCAGTTGTATCTTCATTAACAAGATGAGTCCACTTCGTCCTTCCACTCCGACCAAAGTGCTTGACTTGCATGACTTTGGGCAAAATAGTTTTGTCCATCTTATCATCTCCAGTTGGAGCAGAGAAGTCGCGGCTGTAAATGTAATCTGATCCAGCCGTTCCAGCATGGTCATCGGCTTCTGACTGGAAGAAGGCACCCTTGTGGTAATACTTCTGCATGAACCTCCACTTCTGCTTTGATGCCGAAGTAGATTTGGGATTCTTTCTTTCCCACTCCCTCCTTTCCTCCTCTGTCATGTTTCTCACCTTCTCAATCTCTTCCTTCGCCTTCAACATTGCTTCACGGTCCTCTCTATCCCTCTTGATCCTTGCGATCTCTCTTGCTTTCCAAGCTTCATACTCCTCAGCCTCGTTAAGCTCATCATCAGTTTCCACGTCAGCAATGTTCGCCTCCATTTCCAGATTCTTTTGAATTTCTTCATCTTTCCTGATCTCCTCAACCACAATCTGCTTCGTCTCCGCCTTTCTCTCCTCTTGTCTCCTCTTCACTAGCTCCTCAAGGGCTCTTTCTTCTGCCTCAAGCCGCTGTCTTTCAGCTATAGTATCCCTCTCTGACTTGATGACAAAAACCGGTTTCACCATGGCAATACCTTTCGTCTCTTCTTCTGAGTCCGTCTCATACTCGGATTCCTCTTCTTCCTCCTCCTCTTCCTCCTCCTCCTCTTCAGGAAGGAGTGCCGCCGCCTCTTCCTGTTCCCTCAGAAGCAACTTCTCCCTTATCTTTTTTCTCCTTTCTTCTAAAGCCTCTGCATCCTCTTCTTCCGCTTCCAGACCCTCCTGTCTTCTGTTTTCCTCTTCAATGGTAGAAACGATCTCAGCTTGCCGAATGCGACGGTGATCAGCTCTGATTTCATCACGGTTATCTATCCTGCTCTCAGCCAAACGCCGCAGCCTGGGATCATCTTTCTTGCTAATATCTGAATGTTCATGAGTAGGGAAAGCTTTCTCCAGGGCAACTGCCCTGGCCATCCTGATATCCCCTTCTTCATCAGCTTCATCTGCCCACTCAGGAACTTTACCAGGCCAATACCTTTTGACCTTAGTCTGTCCAATTTTACCCCTAAGTTTATCCCTAACAGCAATTACAGTGTCACTCACTCCTGCTGTCACCGACATTGTTGTGTATATTGTATGGCACAATATGAACGAGAGAAAAATATTATGACCAGCAGACCAGTTTGTGCTATTACTCCTCCAGGACCAAGTTATGCCTCAATCACAGCTGTTCTGTGCGCAATGAAAGAAAAACTCTGTAAATAAACAAGGGATAATACGGCAAATGAACCTAATTTTCAACAAAATAATAAATTGAAGGAAACCCTAGCTTAGGGAAGAGGAAGGCTACCCACATGTAGGGCCGTCAAATGGATGGGTCGGGTTGGGTATGTTTCATTAAATTTACATTACTCTGAGCTTTAATCATGACCTCACCAACAAATCAGGAACCCTAGATTGGGATGATCAACAGAGAGAGACCCAATTGCTTCACTTTTCATTAAAAACGAGAAACCCAATTTCAAACACACAGAAATAGGGAAATTCCACACTTGACTTAAATAATAGACGAAATCGCCATATGGGGATGTTGTTAGGAGTTATATAGAGGTTGTTGGAGGCTAGTCTAGTCAGGTTGTCGAAATGTCTGTTGTCATTGGGGTTTAGAGACCGCGAGGTTGGTGAAAAAAAGTGAACTTGGGAGATCTCAACCGGAGATCCCGACGATTGGGCGGGGGAATCTCGACGCCCACCCCCGGATCCTCTGCAGTTGGGCCTGAGTGTCAAAGGCCGGGCCCAAGTCTCTTGAGGCCGTGCTTGGGTCCTCAACGACACCACTCGGTTACCTGGCTAGCACACCCAAGTCACCAACGCTCAGGCTCAAGTCCATCGAGGCTAGGTCGGTGCCTGTCTTGAAACTAAATTAGAATCTGGCCCTAAAATGACGTCCAAGCAATTTGAGCTAAACAATTTTGGGCCGAGCCGAGTTTTCGGATTCTTAATTTCATCTGAATCTCCAAATCCTTTCTTTGGTTCTTCCTTTGTTTCTCTCTCTCCAACCAAACAAAGAACTTAATTAACTAAGGCCTCGTCCCAATGTAAATTCACTTTCTCCACTGATTTGTCACTCCTCACTCGTAGCCCAGACCGCCCACCAATTCTCTCTCACCTTATTTCTTCTTTGCCAAGTTCGCTTTTTCTCACCGACCTCGTGACCTCTAAACCCCAATGACAACTGACAGTGAGATAGCCCGACCAGACTAGACTCCGGCGACCTCTATAAAACTCCCAGCAACATCCTCGGATGGCGATTTCATCGATTATTTAAGGCAAGTGTGGAATTTCCCTATTTTTGTGGGTTTGAAATTGGGTTTCTCATTTTTATCAAAAAGTGAAGCACTTGGGTCTCTCTCTACCGATCCTCCCAATCTAGGGTTCTTGATTTCTTGGTGAGATCATGATTAAAGCTTAGAATATTGTAAATTTAATGACCCACACCCTACCCGACCCAACCCATATCAATAAAACACATTAATATTCAACCCAATATAGGAAAATCCACACACACCCATTTAAACCACTTTAAGTTCTTCACGTGTATATGTTATTTGATAAAAACTTCACATCAAATTAAAAAAGTAAATTAAACAATAAAAAAATTTAGTAAATCAAATAAAGAACGTAAAAAACCTAAAATTGAAATATTTATAAAGAACTATTGATAAGAGAAAGTCCGATCAGCTAACCATTGACATGAAAATGACATTTGCTTAAACATTTGCTTACAAGAACTCTTCTATCATGCGCCAACTTCGTTGTCCATGGAACGAAATTAAGCAAAAACAATAGACAAAAATGAAGGGAATAAGCAAAAACATTGAAACTCCCAGACCAGCAAGAGTGTTAATTCCTGGCTTGTTTCCTCAGCATCTCATTGGCAGCAACTGTGAACGGATAAAGCCCATACACGTAAACAAATGCAATAGCACCCCAACACTGACCTCCCCAACAATCAAAATAATACCAAGGCACATCAAAGTGAAGAGGAAGAAGGATATATCTCTGATGAAACACCTCCTATCAATCTGAACCCTCTTTTCTGCTACACAGAAAGAAATAGCCCCCACAACAACACAAGTAACAAAAACAGCACCACCCAACAGGCTATTAAGACCCACCTCCCCTGCATCTTTCCCCACGGATGCAGCAATGCTAGCAAACACATCAGGAGCTCCATAACCAAGCGGAAGCAGAGAAAGGCAACTTCAGAAGACTAGAAAGCTTCTCCAAACTACAACAGAAGTAATCTGCTGCAGTGTTGCCCAACAAGTAAAACAGAGCAGCCAGCCACAATGCCAGCATGGCATACCCCACACTCGTGAATTTCTTGCAATCACAGAAGAATAATGAAATGTAGTGACAGAACCCGCCAGAGTTACACTCAGGATTGGCGATCAGATACTCACACTTGCTCTTATAACCTTTATGCTCATATAAACGAGCACACAGATTAGGATCCTTCACGGTCAAATTATTACCAACGTACTGAATTCCCCATATAGGGACCTCTAAAGAATTTACCGTGGCCATAAAACAGGAATAATAAGACCATGGCGCAAATTCCATTGAAAACCCCGCGGAATTTACAGGTTTCTGGCAAAGCTATATGCCCCCACACCCCCCCCCCCCCCCCAAAAAAAAATCAACTAAACAGAAAAGCTGAAGCTACAATTTTGCAACACCCAAAATTTTTCAACACGCAACCCGCGATTCAAAACCCAACACACGAAACAATAGAATTGGAAACTTGCCGAATAAGGGCGATGAATAACAGGGACCGCGGAACCTTACCAAAAAAAAAAATAACAGGGACCGCGGGAAATTTCCCAAGGTTCTGCCGGAGCCTGAAGAGCGAGAGGTACCTGATGAGATAGCGAGAGACAGAAAGAGCAGTTTCTGGGTAGATTTGTCCGGTCGGGCTCGGCCGATTCTTGAGCGCGTCGTCCCTGATACAGTCACGCGTCGCGCGAAGGGACTGATCGACACAAGAACGAGGCGGAAGCTGCGACGACAAGGCATTCGAATGGTTAACGCAGAACTAGAAACTGTCGTCGCAAATGGCTACATTCGACTCCGAGCTTCCCATGGAGTCGTACCTTACCGTGAATGCAGCAGCAGCCTGAGGTCTTAGCTCACCAAACCGTCGGCGGAGGCGCGTCGGCCATGGACGCAGCAGCTTCCTCGGCGGAGAAGAAGAAGAAGGAAACGACAACTTCGTCGTTTGTGGGCTGGGCTTTGACCCGTTTAAGACTTGTTTTTTGGGCTTTGGAAAAATGGGTTAAAATATTACCAATATCGAATTGGGCTCGTTAATTTTTATTTTTATTTTTGGGTCATGTGGCTCGTTAAATTTGAGTTAGCCAAATTTTGCTAATTTTTTTCTTGAGATGGAAATACGAAGAAAATGCGATTTCAAAATGTCAGAAAAGCTTTTACCATAGACTCGAGTATGGGCGAAGATGAATGATGCAATTCCTACCGTGGAAAGACTTAACAATTCATGCACTTTAAATTGGTTCCTCTTTAAATTTGTGGCGGCCTAGCAACCTCAGTCTCGAGCACGGTCATTGAAATCAACATCGTCGATGACCAATATGCTCTGAATAGTTTGGAGACAGTCGCATGTAATGGTAACGACGGGTATATTGTTATTAAACCCTTTGCGCGGTGGCTCCAACATGCAATTAAGCAAAAATCATTTTTGAGCCTAAGCCCCGTTCACTGCTCAGTTTGAATTTGTCAATCGGAGCACTTACAGCATTGCTTGCAAAGAAGCAAACTTCCATTCTATTTTCGATTAATTTTAGTTGATGGGATCTTGATGAGATCATTCTCAAAAGTCAACTCGATTAGTTACGAAATAAAAAATAGGAGAGTAGATTAAACTCTCGTTATCACGTGGTTCATTGTATGGTAGCTGTCACATTGACTTAGTCCAAACATTTTGAGAGAAGAACAATTCATACCAAGATAAGTTTAAAAAATTAAACATTTGAATGGTCAAGAAAATGATCATTTCAATGTTGATCAGCCGTCGATTACGTTCACTCATGGTGATATGTCCAAAGCAATACTTAGTACTAGCAGAAAGATAATTAAATAAACTCGGTCTATACAGATCAACACGATTAAGCTAATAATGCGTGGGTCCCACCGTGGGATTCGCGCAATCAACGGCTACAATGATATTGGTCTACATGGACTCGGTCTATATCATAACTTCTCCATACCAGCACATTTTGCACGCAAAAATAAGAGGGATAAATACTATTCGCCTACGTAATCGGGATTCTTTTGTGAAGGTTTTATTTTGATTTTACATTAGATTATGTTCTAAGATGCTTAATACGGTTCCGTACATTTACAATTAAGTTTGGACCAATAATGTCAACGAACGTTTTTAGGAGTTTCATAAGCACGGGGAAAAAAAAAAAAACAAAGGAACGTGTGACCAACTCTCACGTTGTGTTCTCCATTTTCGACACTAGCTTGTCTGGATTTGCTAGAAAAGGTGGGTTTTATCTAAATTTTGAATTTGAAAAAAGTTTTGAAAGTTTTAAAAAATCACGAAACTGTAGAAATATATAATGGCATAAGAAGTGAAATTGAAAACAAAAAAAAGAAAAAGAAAATTGTCTTACCAAACAAAGTATCTTTAATGGGTTGATTTTTTTTTTCTTTATACAAATTTTATCTCGAGATCCTCAAGATGTAAATTAAAAAGAGGGTATTCCCTTCTTCTTTGGGAAGAAAAAGAATAGGGGGAATTTGGGGGTAGGAGTACTGGCACCAGCACGTTAAAATAAGAAATGTATCTGTTGAGCCCACCGTAATGAAAACGGACAAGGCGAAGAGGCCCACGTTGGAGTTTCAGCTCCCTTCCTTTAGTGAGATTACCAAACAAAGTATCTTTAATGGATGAATTTTTCTCTATACAAATTCTACAGCCCTTTTAAACACTTTAATTTAGTTCGGTAACTCTCGTGAACATAGTGCTATCTCAAATCTTTCGAAATGCCTAATCTTTATCACGTGGTATCACATGTGCTATTCTCATAGTTTTTCTCAAATTTAAAGTACTCGTTTTAATATTTAAATTCTAGATAGAAAGTCGTGGGTAAAATCAACGGAAAGGTTTTCTTTGTTACTTATTCCAAACATTAAACTCGACGACTACATCAGAATTAAAGGTACATGTTTCATAATGCTGGAGCAGGTCCTTAAAAGTCTCAAACCCTAAAATCTCTCCCTTCGATTTTTCAGGGTTGTAAAATGCCTATAAGGGATACTGCCTACTAAGGAGGCAGGGAAAAACATATTCTTGGTAATAGGGGGGGTCTTTGGCCAGATCGGTAACCGGATTATAAAATAAGGCGTTATAGTCCAGAGAGGTGGAAACACCATCCTTTGGTGAGGTAAAACAGGCCAAACACCGAGGATCCAACAGTCAAGCGTGTCTAATTGCTTCCCAGAAGTTCTAATGACCATAAGATCACCCAAAAAGGTAACATCATTAAAACTTGGTAAACTCTTTTTTTTTCGTCTAATTAATTAACAAATTAGAAAGATCACTGTTTCTGTTCGCCGCGTAAAATATCGCGCAGTCCCTACCCACTCCCCCCTGCTTTTTATTCTGCTGGGGAAGGTGAGATTCTCGTCTCGGAGATATAACTCCCCCCCAAGTTCCTTCCTTTAAGACCTCGCGGTCCGCGTCTCGGCTCCAGGAGTCGGCCCACCCCCCCCGACGCCGTTTCTTGACCGTTCTTGGTCGACAGGCGGCCGCTGCTTCGGGGAAGGAAGGAAGGGGGGAAAGAGAGCTTAGGGTTTCCAGCTACAGTTGGATCTTTTCCCCTGTTCAGATTCAGCTCAAAAGAGAAACTGGGTCGCCAAGAAGGAGGAGGAAGAGGAGGAAGAGGAAGAAGAGGAGGAGGAAGAAAGAGGGTGTCTGTGGTTCCTGCACCTGCAGCGAGAGGATAAGGTCAGGACCAGAGGCCACCTCCCCCTCCCCACCGTATCCGCTTCCCCATTTTCTTGGGTTCTTTTTTGATAAGATAAGGTCGGCTTTTCTATGCGCATTCGATCTCTTGTCCTTTTACCCTTTTCTTCCCTCCCCACCCCCGCCCTTTTTTTCTGGAGCACAAATTATTTTCCATTCTTGTAACCCTTCGTCTCTCTTTGCGGGGACATTATTATATATCCTTGTGTTGCATTTGTATGGCTCCTTTTTTTATAAGGAAAAAGAAATTGTACAATTTGCTCAGAAGCTACAGCTTTCTTTCTTAGGTGGGTGTCGTTTGTTTATTCGTTTATTTATTTTTTTGGGGTTTTTTTTTTTTCAATTTTTTGTTTTATCTGTGCGGAGAATCGGAGATAAGATGGCTGGTTGTTGTTGTTGATTCATGGATGACGAAGACAGCTCAGTTCACCAGCTATTCTGGATATTTCTGACCCGTTGGGCTCTCTCCAGTGTCATTTCCCCGTATTTATATACATTTCTTGTTACTTTACTCGACCAAACATAGCACTTTCGAAATACCCGGGCGTTAAATGCAACTTTCGTCTTTGCGTTGGATTCGGAGATTGTTGAGAGGGTTGTGACTACCGAGGTAGTTCACCTCCTGGGTCGGATTGCTAACCCCAGAAGAGAAAGAAAAGGTGTTCTTTTTTTGGGGGGGTTATATCTTCTCTCTGTTCTTGTTCATTTCTTCTGTTTTGGGTACTTGGCTTCAATCCTTTCTTCAACACTCTAGCTTCTGGGTTTTCATAGGTTGAGTGGTTGTCATGTAATTACATTGTCCCTGCTATCTATTTGTTCTGTAAATCTGAACTTTAAAGTAGTTCGACCGAATTGGCAATGTTGAGCATCCGAACACTGCTCCAAGTCTAGTGGCATTTGGTGGTAGGTACGGAAGTAATTAAATTCTACTCGTTGATCTATGAGGAGGCAAATGTGTGAGTTTAGAGCCATCGTTATTTGGCATTTACTCATTTGATCATGACTTTGGTGTTTCAGACGTTAAGTTCTTGTTATAGACCATATACAATTTTCTTCCGGTGCTGGTACTTGATAGATATGGATCATTAAGGAGTTGATTCCTACTTGCAAGGTGTGCTACTGAGTTTTTTGGCCAAAAAAAAGGAAGGTTTATTACTGAGTTCTAGTGTCCTGAATTGGTACTTAAACTTGTTAGATGTCCATCTGCATAGCGAAACTCTACCAGACAATGCTTTAGTGCCTATGCTGTTTCTGCCTTGTGTAATGCCGCGTTGATTTCCTGTCATGACCTCACTTTTCCAGGATTCATGCTAGGTTCGTGTTCATAGTTTCATGCGCTGTCCATTCCTTACCTTTTGAACATGTGAATGGAAAGATTGAATTCATATCTACGCTGTGTACCTTCTTTTTACAGCTATCAGAAGAGGTGCAATACTCATTCTATCCAATTCCATATGGTCCTGTGTAGCACTTACTTTGAGGATCCTTTTCATACCAAATTAACCTTAGAGCTTCAAATTACCCTTTATTTTTTGTTGGGACCTCCAGTGGCGGACTAGATTCGATAGTTAGTTTACACAGTTAGTTAGAAATGATGACTGAATGGTTTGGGAAAGGGAACTTCTGGCTCATGCTTTATTTGTTTAAGAAAATTAAGTCAGAAATAAAAAAAGTGAAATATCCTTAGAAAATGAGGATAATGGTGTAGTTATTGTATTGTCGATGTTTTCTGGATGGCAGTCATAATTACAATCAACTTTAGATCCATAAGTCCAATACACATGACAAGACTAAGCAAAAAGCGCACAAGTTACATTGGAAAGAACAAACTGCCAACATGAGATCTATCACCAAGTTGATCAGTATATTGTCTCGGCAATTGGGAGCTATTATATCTCTACCATCAAATAATCATTGATCTGTCATTTTTTTCTTTTTCTCTCACTTGTGGTTCAATCCTTTGTCATCTGGGGTCCTAATAATCTGATTTGACTCAGATAATGCCGGACAAGGAATTCTTCACCGAATATGGTGAGGCAAGTCAGTATGAAATTCAGGAAGTAATTGGCAAGGGAAGCTATGGCATTGTTGCATCAGCAATTGATACTCATTCTGGAGAAAGGGTAGCTATAAAGAAGATCAATAATGTATTTGAGCATGTTTCTGATGCTATACGCATTCTTAGAGAAATTAAGCTGCTCAGGCTACTCAAACATCCTGATATAGTAGAAATAAAGCATATAATGCTTCCTCCATGCCCAAGAGAATTTAAGGATATATATGTTGTCTTTGAACTGATGGAATCTGATCTTCACCAAGTAATTAAGTTCAATGATGATCTCAGTCCTGGCCACCATCAGTTTTTCCTGTACCAGCTTCTTCGAGCTTTAAAGTATATACATACAGGTTGGAACTCACCTTTTAATGATAGTCCATTAATTATCTTATTTTTTGCGTCAACTTTGTTCAAATTTTTTCTTGACTTCTTTTCCTATACTGTTCTCTGTTTATGTAGTTGCTCTGATGTATTTGTTTGCTTTGCAGCCAATGTCTTCCATCGTGATCTGAAGCCAAAAAACATACTGGCTAATGCAGACTGCAAGCTGAAGATTTGTGATTTTGGGCTTGCTCGTGCTTCATTTAGTGATACACCAACTGCTATTTTTTGGACTGTATGTGCCTTAGTGGTTTTTTTGTTTAATCATAAAATTGGTGATGCGGGGATATGATACAGGTTTCTAGTGAAATGATTTAATGCACGAACATGGATTATGAACCAGAACCAACATAATTGGGAATTTATTAATATTATCTTGGTTCAATTGCTGATAATATGACATTAGTAGGAATTAATCTGATGACTTCATAGTAGTTCATGTACCCGAAAGGATCTATTGTGAACATTGTAAAGTTGAATCTACATAAGTTTATTGGAAATTGGCATACAAATGGAAAATTAAGAGCATCTTCTGTAATCTTTCGAAAGTTGAAATTGAGCCATCGAGAAATATTACCATTGATATATTCCCCAAAAGCATTTAAAACATCAATTCTATTGCATGTCTAAGCTGACTACTTGCGACTTACTCATATAGTTCTAGAAGGACATGTTGGTTGGTGTTGTGCCAGCTATTGGGGGTTATCTAATTACCTGGTAGACTTGAGGTGTGGACATGGCTTAAGCTGAACTAAACTGAAATTCAATCTTTTCCGCCTATTGGGTATGGTTTTTGGGTGTAAGTGCACTTCTGATATGGTTTCGGTTCGTGCTGGCACATATCAAGAAAGATTTGTTATAAATGGGGGGCAACTTTTTTGATAAAAGTGCTTCCTTTGATCCAACATTGTTTAAGACTCAGTAATTAATTGAGGCACAATTTTTCCATAAATAGTTGATTGCTAATAGTAGTTATTTTTAAAGGATTATGTGGCAACTCGATGGTACCGTGCTCCTGAACTGTGTGGCTGTTTTTACTCGAAGGTAAGTAATTCGCAGTCCTATAGAATCTAGTCACTATTATTTGCTATCACATATGATTTTTTGTCTTCTTATGCTGTGAATTCACTTGGTTTTCATCTATTTGAGTTCCTTAGATGGTTTCACTTTAACAGTCTGAAAATGAGGGAAGTTGTTCGATGCAAAACACTTATACCATGCATCATACTCGACGGTTACAAATATATTTTCGCATTTATCAGTGCAACTTTGATTAATCAATTATAAACCGGTCTAGAAGGGGAATGACTGTAGAATTCAATTCTTCAATGCGTGCTTCTCATGATCCATCAACATTGAGTGTTTTCGTATGTTGACAAACAAGCAACATAATGGCATTATGCTCTTATCAACGAGTTTTAGCTATTTGATATTGCAAAATCATTTTACTTCCTAAAGAAGAGTTGCTTTGAGCAAACAGCCACATATCGTGGTTTGACGTTGCCCAACCAGCTGTGAGTATTGCACAGTACTCTTTTGTGCATCAGAGATTGCATATGCAGGTGCTATATTTTCATTAGACCAACTGCACGAGAAGGAACTAAACCCTGTTGCTGTTCTGAAGATCTACAAATCTTGCTCGTAGAGGTTGATTTTTGAAACTCTTTTTAACTTTTGGTGTGTTGGCCATTCAATTGGGACCAAACATGTCCGAAGATGCTTTTCTTATACCTAGAGGCTGAGAATCTGGAGTGGGGCCTTCTTTAGAGATTGTGACTCTAGGGTTGGCCTAATTTTGGAAGAAATTTAGCAAATCTCTTTGAAACTGCACTTTTCGAAAAATTTGGGTTTGATCCTGAGGTTGGTTACGAGGTTTCGAAATAACAGGCACCACGCTAGCTAACTTTTAAGTGCTAATTACGACTCTGTAATTAGTTGTAACTTCATACTGAAGGCATGCTTTTGTTAGCACTGCATTTCTTCAGTTACTTAAGTTACTTATATGATTTTGTTGGAAGTATGTTTGACTGTTCTTGTCATAGTGAACTGAATTGTGCTGAACTATGCATATTTGGTTGCAAGAAGCTGCTTATTTGTATAGTCCAAAAGTTCCTTTTGTTGGGGGGTAATAAGCAATAATTTCAAAAGTTTGTTATCCGATTACAATGCTTTTCTTTTAGCATTCCTTGTCAGGCTTACAGGAGGATTTAGAGAAACACTATTTTTCTTGTTAGCATGTAAATGGTATAGTTGATTGGACTTTATCAAGGTTTGCCACTGTTTGAAGCATGATATGTCGAATCTTGTCATTGCCATAAAGTTGGTACGGCTAACTCATACTGTCCATGCCTTTTTCTCACATTAACCATCCCGATTTGTGTAATTCTTGTCAATGTTGAGGCAAGGGCACTTCACTTGTTTGATTACGGTACATGGAGCTTAACCTCAACTTGGAGGGATTGCTGTAAATATGTTAAGCTTGTAGTTCCATTGTGAGAGAACTTGAGGTTCACATTCATTTTTCTTTTTAAATAATGACTTATTGCAGTATACCCCTGCTGTTGACATCTGGAGCATAGGATGTATATTTGCTGAAATGCTCACAGGCAAACCTTTGTTTCCTGGGAAGAATGTCGTGCATCAATTGGATCTCATTACTGATTTGCTTGGCACTCCTTCTTATGAATCGATTGCTAGGGTTTGTTTCTCCTGTTGCATTTTCTTTCTTTCTTTCTTTTTATTAAACTCTCAGAGGAGATCAGGAGAGCTCTTTTCTGGTTCCTGCAGTCTTGGTTATAGTCATGTCTTTCTGTGTAAATCTGCAGATACGGAATGAAAAAGCTAGAAGATATCTAACTAGTTTGAAGAAGAAGCCATCAGTTCCCTTTTCACAAAAATTTCCTGATTCAGATCCATTGGCTCTGCGTCTGCTAGAACGTTTGCTTGCTTTTGATCCTGAAGATCGCATTTCTGCTGAAGAGGTGAGAATAGCCCAATGAAGAGGAAAGTTTTTGGGATTCTGGGTTTTCTTAAATAAGAATTCTTTTCTTAAAATGGTTGTTTTGTGTACAGGCTTTAGCTGATCCATACTTTCAAGGGTTGGCCGATGTTGACTGTGAGCCGTCGATGAAACCCATTCCAAAGCTGGAATTTGAGTTTGAGCGGAGAAAACTGACAAAAGATGATGTGAGGGAGCTGATCTACCGAGAGGTATGAGTGTTGGTTATGCTCATTTTTACTTTCAAAGGTTTTGATGTCCTTAAGATTTTACTTGTACCAAATATCTAATTTTGTACTATGCTGAAAGGACAACAGATTTTGGAGTATCATCCACAGATGTTGAAGGAGTACCTTCAAGGGGCTGAGCAAATACATTTCATGTATCCAAGGTGAGGGGAAAATATCTTTTAATTGTGATTGGACAAGGAGAAATGGATGGAAAAAAATTGACTTTTTATGTCTCGAGGCTGTGATGATGAGGATCAAATTTCAGTCAAACTGAGTATTAAATTGCAGTACTGCAATCTTAAAATCATAATTTGAAGTTGCATGCTCCATGTTATGCATTCATGTCGAAAAAATTATGTATGCTTGCAACAGTTATAGGCAGCCATAAATTTTGTGTGAAAAATGTGCTTCTGTTTGGAGTTTTGATGTGGGCAAAGGTAAAAAATTATATGCATTATTTTTCACTTTGTCTGCCTTGTCTGGGAGTAGCTGTTGTAAGGACTGAGCTCCGTTAGTCCAACATCATGGGTGTTAAGGTTGCAACAGATATTTTCCCTCGGTTTCTGTGAATTCAATAAATATGCTTCTTGTGGATTAAGCCTGGACAATAATATCAAACTGTCTCGCTATTTGTCCCCTTCTTTATTCTGCGACTTAATTTGACGATCATGAAATGGTCGAATCCAGTAATTGGTCCCTATGCAATGCAGAAATGCAATTATGCTCGTGTTAAAAACTATTGTTTGCTAGCCAATTTTTTCTATTGCTTTATGTGAAGCCTCATATCTCTTAGGGTCATGCTTTCATGCCACCTCATAATCGACAATCCCTCACTCTGAAATTTTTGTTTTGATCGAAAACTCCTCTGAAATTGAATGCATAATCATTATACGAAGAGAGAGAGAGAGAGAGCTGGAGGGGGGGGGGGGGGGGGTGGTGTTCACTAGAGCCAGAGTGCAGTGGTGTTTGAGCATGGTTATATGTCATGTAAAAAGATGGAGCTGATAATTGTTGTCTGACAAAAGAAGTGATCTGGTCACTGATGTAAGCAAATGTTCTGTGAAACACAGTGGAGTTGATCAATTCAGGCAACAATTCGCTGAACTTGAGGAAGACTCTGGTAAAGCTCGAAGAAGTACGCCACTACACAGAAAGCATGCCTCCTTACCCAGGTGATGCAGCATATCTGACGCTACCATTCCAGATGATTAGTATTTCAAAGACATTGGCCCTATCAATTATTTGATTACTTTTTAGGATGAATAATGTCCATTGCAGTAGTAGGGTAAACATTGTTTTGGTCACATCAGATCTTTGATACTATCATATGTTTGCTCAATTAGTTGCGTTTTATTTGAGGATCAGTATGCAAAGCTTCTTATGTAATTATTATACGAGAGGGACGTACATGTGCAAATCCAATGAAATGTGTGCAGATTCCAGATACTTGTTGATGTCAATGATTGTTCTTTTTCCTTTTGGCCTGTGGATCATACTGATGAAAGCTTTAGCATTGCTGACTGTGATCGCCCTTTTCCACAGGGAGCGGGTCTGTCAACCCAAAGAGGAGACTCTGGAGAACAAGTCTGGAAAGCGCACCTCTACTTCCATTTCTCGTGCATCACTTCATAGTCCTCCAGGTCTACAAAGTATCGGGAGTCTGGAATCTGCTTTAAAAAATGGTTGTAGTGTTCAGGATGGTTTGACCATGCCCAGATTCAGCTCTCATATCCTTTCAAGGAGTTCCAGCATGGGTGCTTACACATGCTCGAGCATGAAAGGGAAAAGTTGCGAGGTAATTGGTCTCTGAACTTAAATCGAGCACTTCAACCAAAAAAATAAAAATTAAATCGGGCACGATATTGCTAATAGTGCCCAATCATACAGACGAGCCAAGTTTGTAGAATCCCAGAAGTTATTTTTATGATCATCTTTTGGCTATCCAAGCCTCCTCTGTCACTCACAAAGCGGATTGCAGTAACCAGGCCTAGTTGACTGTTTCCAATTTTGAAGTGCAAAGAAGGCTTCGATGCTTATATTTCTCTAATTGTGAAATGCATCTTTCAGTTTCTAGCATCATGTCAGAGTTACTGTACACTACCCACGTAAAAACTCATGCTAACCTTGTATCTTCTCCAGGCTGATTCGACTTTCAACCGAAATGGAGAGCTGGTGAAGGGTTTCTAGCACCGGGGGAAAAGAAGTGAAAACTGCTCTTCGTATGTAACGCAAAGTACCAGCGACACGATTTTTGTGTTTGGTCTCTTGGTACTTATTTAGGATAATGGTGACTTGCCTCCATTCATGCAGCATCAGCCGCTGCAATTGGTATGCTGACTATCAGCCCATTGATGATGACGAAATATAGACATGTTTAGTTCCTATAGAAAGAAGAAATAGACACAAAGCATATGCTTGGTTTCTATTTTGAATTGGAATACTTTGGAGGGGGCCAGAAAGTTCGGCCAAGTAAATTCTGTTATCGTAGGGTATGACGGCAGACAAAGGCGACAGTCTCCTTTATGCTTTTTATGGCTTCTGTAATTGCATGCTGGAACCTTTTCGAGGTTCATTCCAACTTAGTAGTTTACTTTAATCCCCCTGAAAGTGAGCTTAGATCATTTGCCTTTCTTTTTTTCGGATTTCGATAAGTTCTCATTAAATCAGAGCTATATATCGTTTTCGATTTTCCTCTCGGTAGAAGTAGTGAGTGTCCAAATCTCTACCGCTAGATTTGAATGGCGTTTTCCCTAAAAGCGGAAACTTGAATTATGGATTTGTTATGAACTCGACACACATGCGATTGCAAACTCAACCCTGAGGTACTACGCTATAGAATTAGACGGAATAGAATAATTCACTGCAGAAAGCTAAACCATTAGTCATGTTTTATCTGCATCTCAGAAGAAGGAAACTTCATCTTCTTTTCGGGTTGGAGACCGTCCATGCGACAATGAAAGGTCCACGTCCCATCCGTTCTTCTAGCAGGAGTAGGTTATAAGCAGTAAAATGCGTTTCCAGAGTAGCGTGTGGAAGGATATCACTAGGCGTGGAGGAACTCTTTCAACCAACTGAGCTGCTATGCCTCATCAATCATTTGTTACCCTTGCAGCGTTTTATATTCCCGTTCCTGTCAAGTTGGGGCAAACAAAGCACAGCTCCAGCCCCACATGATAAAATGCTTTCACCAGAGTATGGAACAATATGCATACCTGTTTTTCACTGAGCTCTACTCCATTTGTGGTCGTGGAAGTTTCGATGATCATTCAATTTTGATTTCAATCACTCAATACACTGATCTTTAAATTTTATCTTTCAATCGAGGTGACTCAAATGAAATCCAACCGTTTTCCCAATGAACTACTGACGTGGCTGATATGTGGCCAAATTTTAGAATGCCAAGTCACATGAGCAACATGTCAGCATTTTGTTGGAAATAAGTTGGATTCTGGACAAAACGCAACAATTGCAAGAAACTGAAAGTTTGGTTCATTTGGTGATTAAATCAAAAGTTCAGTAACCTACTCAGAAATGACTAATGACCCCCACTGAAATATATCCTCTACCTTCACAATGAAATTAAATAAGAGAAAACAGGATGTGGAATGAACACCAAACCAAAAAAGAGCAACAAATATAGATAGGCAGCAATGATAAAATCTGTAGCCTGAACAGCATGATCAAATCATACTCTTTTTATTTAAAATTTAATTTTCGGAACTAGTATATGATAACACTTATACCATACAGCATATTAATTATAAAAATAAGCCACGGGCTCTTGGTTTTACAATTTTTAACAAATCCAAACAGGAAGTTCCCTCCTTCCTGCAATTTCATCTTTACACAGTCCAACAAATAAATCTCGCGGTATCAGCATTTTCCCTCTATCCAGATCCATCTAGTTGTCCAAGGGAGAGAAGGTGTGCCAAATATTGCTGCAGCAAAAAAAAAAAAAAAACAGAGACCAAATATGAGGAGCAACAAACTTTGCAGTGCGAAGTTGACACTACAAATGCAAGAGTGTGCTTAAGTTGGAATTTGCGAATTCAAGGATTAAAACCTTGACCTCTCAAATGAGAACTCCCTCTTTGATCTTCATTCCTTCTTTTAAAGGTTTATATGTAGGTAATCATGTATAACAAAGTTTATTGGCATCACAAGCTTCAGTAAGACAAATTTTCAGGATCTTCTTCTTGATTCGTACTAGAATCCTATCTTTGAAGACGAAAGGATCAGAACCAACTAAGGATCCTGATCTGCACAACCCTGCCATGCACCAGCAGCTTAATTGTGTAATGTCACGATGCAGTTTCAGTTTCAAGTCTTACATGAAGGCTGGTAAGAGTATCACTGCACCATTAGGATAAGAGAAAATGACACAGAGCACCTAATCTATGAATGAGCAATTACTCTTTTCCTCTTAGTTCTTGACTTTTAAGACCTAGTTCGGCAATCACAGTAATGTCAAAGGATTTCCCTGAGGGCAACTGTTTTTTTCCTTCAACATCAGTCAAGCCATCAGTCCACAAAACAAAGGCCGACATGGTAAGGATGACTACGATGAGAAACAAAAAACCAGTTGTTTTAAATTAGCAAAGGAAGGGAAAATGATTGTTTCCACCATCTCCAAATGCTTGGTTTTTTCTGATCCATACATACACAACTATACAAAAGAGGAAAGAAATTTTTTTTTGAATTGTAACAGTCAACCATTGTGGTTTCAACGGGGTCCATAAAAGAACAAAGCACTCTCGAATTGTTCTCTCCATCGATAACAGCACATTCATAATGACACGAGTAACCTTAAAGAAGAGGAATGCAAAACCAAACGAGTATATCGACATTTGTGAAGTCAAATACTTACAGCATGATATGCATACGGCGCCTTTCCTTGGCGCTCGAAGTGCTTGGACATGATGCAGAACTCGATGGGACCCCACTCTTCCGCTTCAAAGCAATTACCAAGAGCAGCTTTGTACAACTATGACCAAATTAATCAATCAGACATAAGTTGTAAATCATAAATAACCAAGGAAAATGTAGCACAAGGTAGAAAGTGCCGCACAATCACAGCACTAACAGACCTTATCAGAATCACCCAATAACTCGGTTCCGGCCGGGTAAGCCGCATAATACTGGTCTCCTCTAGAATATCCAGCTCTAGTACTGCAATAGCAACGATGAATAGAAGCGGGACGAAAATATAAGAAAATCATAAAGTTGAGAGCTGAAACAAACAGCAAAAGACTCACGTGTTGTTGGTATAAGCGTAGCTCAAGACGGCAGTAAAGCAATAGAACACGGAGTACCCCACGAACCTCCTGAACTTCTGAATCTTGAGAATATCCTTGAACCCTTCATAGACCATCATCTTCGACAATCTAAAACTTCAGAATTTTCACCACGGGCGCATTTAATCAAACAGGTGGTGTGCCTTCTGGAAAAAAGCTTCAAAAAAGGCGCAACAAGAAAGCAAGCTTCCGCCTTCCAGACGCAGGGAGCGAAAGGGAGGCGGCAGACGGTAGAAGACGGAGGCCGAGCATGAAGCTTCCAAGAAGCGAGCAAAGGGATCAAGCCATGAAAGTTTTGCCAGTGGAGAAGATGAAGGCGAGCTCGCGCATGGAACTCGAACAAGTCGGTGGCATCTGCAAACGTAGTTGAAGAGTGGGTAGGAGCCCGCCCGCCGTGATGGTGAAATCGGGTCCAGTTGCAGATGCGGTATTTGGGCCTGTGGCCCAGTTATCCGCTTCTTGGGCCAAACCCAGATGACTAGGCCCATCCAAGCCCGATCCATTTTACGGAGACACCTGTAAGCGAAGGGGGATGATGACGGCGGCGCCTTGGACCTGGGCGGCGGTGGTGGTGGGGCTGAGGTTGGCGGCGGCGAGGAGGGAGCGGGAGGCGCTTGACGGCGAAAAGGGATTGGATGGACTCGAGGGTGGTGGTGGTGTTGGGGGGGATTCGTAGCCGACCAATGCTTGACAAGTGGCCTCAGGCTGGGAGCTGCAGATGGAGGCCGAGGGCATGCGTCGCCGGCGCAGGACGTGCGCTCAAAGCATAAAAACAAAACTAAACTCGGCTGAGAGGCGGCCGAGAGCTAGATGAGGCAAGGAATTAGGGGTTTTGATTCAAAACCTAAAAACTAAAAAATATGTATATATATGTATGTATATATGTACTGGTCCGATTCGGTGGTCTGGATCGGTGGTTCTACATTTGGAAGAGGGAACCGCACCGATTTTCATGGGAACCGTCCAGAATCGTCCGGTTTGGTCCTATTCGGGCGATTTTCAATTCTTTTCCACCCCTGAATTTGGATGGAGTGGTACAAAAAGAAGAGAAATAATCGAAACAATTGCTAGGGAAAGTGAAATGAACTGACAAGAAATCCCGAACTTTTGTTAATGTTCAAATTGCAGAAAAACAAAAGCAAAAATGAGCAGAACACCACGGAATTATCTCAAATCCCTCCAAATCACTCACTTCTTTTGGAGGGATTCGAAGGTCAAAGTAAGTGGCTGGTCAAAATTTCGTATTCGGATACGAAACTTTTGTGGGAAAATATGCTCCTTCGAATTGTAGAAGAAAAGAAACTTCAACTTCAAACGGGATGAACGACGAAGTCAGACTTTGAGGCTAACTATCACTTTCTTTAACGAATTATTTACCCCACGAAGTTGCTAATGGTCACTGGCAAATTTCCTTCAGGATACAATAAAGTCTCGATTGAGAATACCGAATAGCAATTTCAGTATATCTCCAGGGTCTCTCTAGAAAAATAATTAGAAAGAATAGCTGCAGTTTTTCAAAATGAAAAAGTATCTAAAAATTCGAATGAAAAGACTTAATATTCAACCATGTAAAAACTGACTCACTAATCACACCCTTTCGAACAAAGGCGTTCCTTCATCAAAAAGATATATAGTGAATTGGTACGAAATCAAAAGTCACGTTGAAAAAGGATATATGAAAATTTGAAATAAAATAATAATATTTTTTTTAATTATTATTATTATTTAATCATTTTTATTAATCCGAATTTTCTAAATTCTGAAAAATAATTTTTGAACAAATACAACCTTTCAACATTGAAGGAGTTATGTCCGAAAAGACATAACCTTCCAAAGGTGAAGTAGTTATGTCCGAAGGAACATAATTCTTCTAAAGATTGTAAGAACGCTTAATAACCATTAGGCTAAATAATAAATTTCGAAATTAATTAATAAAAAAATAACCGCAACTCTATTGTGAACAGTCACCCTGTTTCAATAGGATAAAATCGTTATTTTATAATAATAAATTCGAAATTTAATAAATAAAAATAATAAATGAGGATTAGTGCTAATTATCATTCGTGAGCGTGCTAAGTGCTAAGTGCTAAGTGTGCCTAATAATAGCGCCAAAATTGTGCACCCGCACGCGGGTATTGAGAAGTCTAGTCCATACCCTATTATCTTCACTTAAACATTGAAGAAGACACTCACCCTTCTCAAAACTTTCTTATGTGGGATAAAGGAAAAATCACTATTTTGTTTGTTTTACAAACAAACAACCAACAATCCCCCACTTTGTTTGTAAAACAAAATACCAATTAAGATTAGAAAAAGAATACATCCATAATTTCCATGAGATTAATATACATACATAAAGGTCTCTTTCGAGTTAAACCTTCATTTAGTGCAAGCACATCAAAACTCTATAAAAGTGACAAGTAGCTATGCTTTAAACTTGTACTCTATGTAATAGAATCGGACATACCACACATATACTAACCTCTTGTTTCAGCGAGAAGTTCTATATTACTCAGCACTATTATGGCCCCGTGCTTGTACCTGTTTCATGAGTTCTCTAGAAAGCAACCTCAACTTTCGTAAGAAACGGCACCACTTCTAAGCTCATATAGGTGAAGTATCTTTCATGTGTTTTTGTTACTAATAACACATTTGAATCATACTTCATTAATAATTTAATTCAACCTACAAACATAACAGACGATACTGACTTCTCATGTCCGGGCTCATGTCAGTATCATACAATCACTTCAGTAACTTGTTTTTACCCATTAAACCTTATAACTAGTGATGTTCTAGTTTAAGGTCGAGTTACCATTACTGGTGATTTTGATTAAAGGGTTTCAGCCCCATTTCTTTTGAGGTCATAGTTACCATCTCTTTTGGTAAAGCCTTTGTAAAAGGATCAACTAAATTATTACTTGATCTCATGTAGACAATTGTTATGGTACTATCTTGAATCAACCGTCTCACATACTTGTGTCTTAGACTAATATGTCTAGACTTACCATTGTAAGTGCTACTATAAGCTCTTGCCAAAGTAGCCTAACTATCACAATGGATAGAAATGAGAGGCATAGGACTAGGCCATAATTTGATATCCAATAACAAATTCCTAATCCATTCAGCCTCTTTCCCAGTTGCTGCTAAAGCAACATATTCGGATTCCTTTGTCGAGTGAGTTATGCATGTCTGTTTTTTGCTCGCCCAAGATACAGCACACCCACCTAAAGTGAAAATCCATCGAGAAGTGGAATGTTGATCACCTACACTTGTAATCCAACTAGCATCGATGTATCCTTCTAGTACAGCCGGATGATTATTATAGAACAATCTCAAATTTTTAGTTCTCTTGAGATAACAAAAAATTATAGCAATAGCCTTCCAATGTTCTATATTTGGATTACTAGTATATCTACTCAACTTACACAACAAATAAGCAATATCAGGTCTAGTACAATGCATCGCATACATTAAAGATCCTATAGCACTCGTATATTCAAGTTGTGCTACCGCTCTACCAGTATTATAATCAATTTAATACTGCTATCAAAGGGAGTACTCATTTCTTTGAAATCAAGATGACTAAATTTATTTAATATTTTGTTAACATAATCACATTGGCTCAAAGAATAACCCACTATGCCTTTTAACTTTAATACCCAAGATAGTTTCTACTTCACCAAAATCTTTCATTTTAAACATGGAAGTTAGATACTTTTTAGTCTCAATGATTCCAGTCATATTTGTTCAAAAAATAAGCATATCATCAGCATATAAGCACACTAAGACACCATAGTCTTTAGTGAATTTCGAGTATATACACTTATCAGCACTATTGTGTTTGAAACTCCTAGACAATATGACTGAATCAAATTTCTCATGCCACTGCTTAGGTGCTTGCTTAAGCCCGTAAAGAGATTTAATTAATTTACATACTTTCCTTCATTTCTAGGAAGAACAAAACTCTCTGGTTGTTCCATGTAAATTTCCTCATTTAAATCTCCATTCAAGAAAGCAGTCTTGACATCCATTTGATGAACACAAAGATCATAAATGGAAGTTAGAGCAAAAAGAATTCGAATAGAAGTTATACGTGCTACAGGAGCATACGTATCAAAATAATCTATTCCTTCTTTTTGTCTATACCCCTTGGCTACTAGTCTAGCCTTGAAAGCTTGGATAGAACCATTGAAATGATATTTTCTCTTGAAAGTCCATTTGTTCCCAATAGGTTTAGATCCTTTTGGTAAGTCTACTAAGACCCAAGTATTATTGGACATAATTGAGTCCATTTCATCATTTATAGCTTCTTTCCAAAAAGAAGCATCTCTAGAAGACATAGCATCACTAAAACATTTAGGATCATCTTCTAAATTTAATACTAAAGGGTATTTATTTACCACGTTATTATCTCCGTCTCCTTCAATAAGGAAAGTATAAGTAATAAAATCTGGACCAAAATCCTTCGATTTTCTTGCTCTAGTGCTTCTCCTCAATTCAGTCATGTCTCTAGAATCATTTATTTCTGTCTCGGCGTGATCTAATTGAGCCGTGTCAATCGAAATCGTTCGCCGATCGATCTAGACATGGTTTGCTTGTGCAGTTTATACAAAGCTCAACGCTCAACTTCATCTCAATCTATTCTGACTTTTCTATCTCGAATTTGCCCAAAGTCCAGTTAATTTGAAATAACCTTTACCAAATGGAACATACTATATTTCTCCCCAGGCTTGAAACATCTAAAGGAATAGAGTTTGCAATAATCCCTTTGTCTGTCTCGCATGACGACGCACCATCCCCTGCTTAGAGAAGGAGAAGAAGGAAGAAGAATTTGCGCCAATCTTCTAAGCTGGACCACTCTTGGCTCCTATGATGCTTACAGAACTGAGATGTGATGGTTTTACTCTCAATACAAATCCTACAATAGCTTATCTTGCCTATACAAGTAGCTTTACGACAATAGCTGACGAAAGAAAATATTCAGAGAAACGAATCAATCTTCACACATCCTCCCGTTCAAGGCAGGACAATTTTACATGCTAGCCTTCGCATCTCCGAGAGAACTCTTTCTTCTGGCTCGACCTTTTCTTTTAGTCGAAGGAACAGACTCGAATAGATTTATCACCTGTTGTGGATGGGATCCGGTCCTTTTGGGACTTGTCTTTTGCTTGACATGCTAGGATCAAATGTCTTCGCCGCATTTGAAGATTTCTTAGTGTTCATGCCCACTGTACCGACAGTCTTCAAACCGCGTCGACTCTGGGGTGCTTTTCCCTGATCTTCTTCTTGCTCCCTCCCGAAACCGAGCTCTACACTTACTAAACCACGGACTTTATCCAGGTCCGACGCTAAGAAGAAGATGCATACGAGCAGTACAAGGGGTCTGTTTAAGATGAAGCCCATGATTGTGGTTTGCGGAAGGACAAGAAAGAACAGCACAAAAACTCCCCCGGGACAACTGATCGTTTTTCACATTTTTTGGTAACCGTCCGCTCCTACGGCTCAATGTTTTTCAAGCCCATCATGGGAAGTTTCTTTGAAACTCGAGGACAGATAGATTCGCTCTTCGAATGAATGGTGCGGTGAATGGAGCAAATCACGGACGAGAAACTGGTTGGGAGCTTTTATTTCTCGGTGGGACTTTATACGAATCCCGCTCTCTCTTTTACAAAGGAATTGGCATAGCCTATTGGACTGAGGCTTATGAAATAACTTCTCAGGTGGGTTCCACTTTTAGACTATTGTATACTTTTTAAGATATCGTCACACGCTTATTAGAAGACCGAAACATGGTCATCCCACTCGCAATCCTACTCTTAGCGTGATGCGGAAGGCTTCAGTGACTGACTTCCAAATATTGCCGTGTTAAATGCTGCGGACAATAGTTTTACTGGGTCCATTCGAAACTTTTGTGACTGACTTCCTAATCTTTCGGTGTTAAATGTTGTGAACAATAGTTTTACTGGGCCCATTCGAAGACTTCAGTGACTGACTTCCTAATCTTTCCGTGTTAAATGTTGCGAACAATAGTTTTACTGGGCCCATTCTCGTTTGCGTTTTTCAAACATCTTTTGCATGGAAAGGAGTTGAGCGTGAGGAGGCAAATCTGATCACAAGAAAAATCTTGACAGATATTTGTGATGGTGCACGGCTGAGATTTTTCTTGACATGGATTCAAATTCGGTTCCATTTGCTTGCACAGATTCAGATCATATCTCCCATCTTGTAATCACAAGCTGCACAATTGGCCATCGGCACATCGTCTTGATTCATCTTCTTTCATCATTGTTACTGTCATTGTTTTTTTTTTTTTGCAATTTTAAAGTTAAAAACTTAAATTGGCACGCCAAAGGACTCTCCAAATGAATGTTTATCAAATAGTATTTCTCCCAAAGTTGCATCCCAAATCACTTTTCAATTACAGTTTACCAAACGGTATTTGTATTTCACCAAACCCCTTTAGGAAGCCTTTGCATTTCCCCAAGGACATTCTCCCAAAGCTGAACCAAACGGTGTCTTAATGCAGCTAACAATCTCGAAGAACAAATTTTCTGGAAACGTGCCTACTGTTGAAAAGCTATATCAGCTGCAGTGGATAAGTATTTCGTTCAATCAGCTGGCTAGTGGAGCGCAAGGTGACCTGAAATTCCTTGAATCGATCAATTCTACCAGCCTGGAGCTCCTGGCAATCAATATCAACAATTTCGGAGGTACTTTGCCTGAATCTATAGGCAACTTATCCTCCCAATTGAAAATAATGTCGATTGAGGAGGATCAATTGTTTGGAAATATCCCTTCAAGCATAGGAATTTGCGCAGTCTAGAACTGTTGTCCATGGGCAACAAGAAGTTCACGGGCGGCATTCCCGAAACCATTGGAAATCTGATCGAGCTGAAGGAGTTCCATGCTCAGATGAACAAACTCAGCGGGAATAGCCCCTCCACGATAGGGGGATCCTGACAGAGCTAATGGAACTCGTCTTGAATGATAACAAATTACAAGGGAGCATTCCTCCGAGTATCGGGAAATGCCAAAACTTGGTTGGGATCGACCTTTCACAGAATAATCTGAGTGGAATCATACCATCTCAAGCTTTCACTATCTCTTCCATATCTATGTATTTCGATCTATTCGAAAACTAATTCAGTGGTTCCTTACCAGAAGAACTCGGTAGATTGAATAACTTAGCCATATTAGACGTGCATGGCAACGAACTATTGGGAATAATCCCTAGTAGCCTTGGTCGATGCACTAGCTTGGTGGAGCTTCACATGCAAAATAATCTATTTGAAGGGAATATCTCTTCATTATTGAGTTCCTTGAATGGTCTTCAGTACATAGACCTCTCGAGTAATAATTTCTCTGGGCCTGTTCCAACATTCCTGGAGAAATTTCAATTGCAGTACCTGAATCTATCTTTCAACGACATAGAGGGTGAGGTACCGAGCGAAGCGGTGTTCCTGAACACGAGCGCGACTTTGCTCGAAGGAAATGATAAGCTCTGTGGTGGTATGGCGATCGTAGATTTGCCAAGTTGTTCGACTAGAAAAGGAAAACGTGGATCATCTACCTCCCGTTACGTTAACATTGCAGTTACTTGTGGGATAGTAGCGACGCTGATTCTTCTGTTGCTACTGATGACGTTTTATTGGCTGAGGAGGAAGAATAGTAAGGCTTCTCTAGAGACTCCATCATTAGGGGATTTCAGCAAGTGTCTTATGAAGACATTGTCCAAGCAACAGACGGGTTCAATTCTAGCAAATTTGATCGGAGTGGGTGGTTTCGGCTCCGTGTATAGCAGATGAAAACAAAATAGTGGCTGTTAAGGTTTTTGACCTGAAGCAACGAGGAGCATGCAAAAGTTTCACGGCAGAGTGCGAAGTCCTGAGAAACATAAGGCGTCGGAATCTTGTTAAGGCTCTGGTATACGAGTTCATGGAAAATGGTAGCTTGGAGGAGTAGTTGCATCTGAATCTTGCACCAGATGGGACGCAAAGGCATAGGTTAAGTTTTGTTCAGAGACTGAACATTGCTTTCGTCGTAGCATGCACGGTGGATTATCTACATCGTCAGTGCCAAACAGCGGTGATCCATTGTGACCTCAAGCCGAGCAACATTCTTCTGGATGCCCGAATGAATGGTCATGTCAGCGACTTTGGCTTAGCTAGGATATTCCCAAACGCCATTGGTGATTTGCCTGCGAGTCAAACAAGCTCAAGTTGGGGAAACAAAGCACAGCTCCAGACGATCTTGTAGCTCCTGATGATAAAATTCTTTCACCAGAAAATTGAACAATATCCATACCTCTTTTTTATTGAGCTCTACTCCAGTTGTGGTCGTTGAAGTTTGGAAGATCATTCAATTTTGATTTCAGTCACTCAATACACTGAACTTTAAGTTTTTTCTTTTTCTTTTTCAATTGAGTCACGTCAAATGAAATCCGGCTGATTTCCTGATGAATTACTGAAGTGGCTGATACGTGGCCAAATTTTAGAATGCCAAGTCACATGAACAACATGTCAGCATTTGTTGGAAATAAGTCGGGTTCTGGACAAGATGCAACAATTGCAAGAAACTGAAAGTTTGGTTCATTTGGTGATTAAATCAAAGTTCAGTGACCTGGTCAAAAAATGACTAATGACCACCACTGAAATTTATCCTCTACCGTTCAATGCACAATGAAAGTAAATAAGAGAAAACGGGATGCGGAATGAACACCAATCCGAATATTGATAAGAAGCAATGATAAAATCTGTAGCCTGAACAGCACGATCAAATCACTCTTTTTCTTCAGATCACTCTTTTATACTAGTAGATGATAAGACTAATACCATACAGCATACTAATTAGAAAAGTAAGCCACGGGATCTTGTTTTTACAATTTTAACAAATCCAAACAGGAAGAAGTTCCCTCTATCCGGCAGTTTCATCTTTACACAGTGCAACAAATAAATATTGCTGTATCAGCTTTCCCTCAATCCAGATCCATCTAATTGTCCACGGGAGAGAAGGTGTGCCGCATATTGCTGCAGCAAAGAAAAACAGAGACCAAATGTGAGGAGCAACCAACTTTGCAGTGTGAAGTAGCAATTACAAATGCAAGAGTGTGCTTAAGTTGAAATTTCGTGAATACAAGGAATTAAAACCTTGACCTCTCAATGAGAGCTCCCTCTTGGATCTTCATTCTTTCTTTTAAAGGTTTATACGTAGGTAAACAAAATTTTTTGGCATCACAAGCTTCTTAGACAAATTTACAGGATCTTGAATCCTTAATTCGTCCTAGAATCGTATCTTTGCAGACAAGAGAAACAGAACCTACTAAGGATCCTATCTGCAGGACCCTGCCATGCACTGGCAGTTTAATTGTGTAATGTCACGATGCAGTTTCATTTTCGTGTCTTTCATGAGGGGTCGCTAAGAGTTTCACTGCATCATTAAGATGACACAGAACACCTAATCTATGAATGAGCAATTATTCTTTTCCTCTTAGTTTTTGACTCTCTAACTCAATTCGGCAATCACAGAAATGTCGAAGCATTTCCCTGAGGGCAGCAATTGTTTTTCCTTCAACATCAGTCAAGCCATCAGGCCACAAAACAAAGGCTGGCACAAGGACGACTAAGATGAGAAACAAAAACCACACTGTAAAGAAAGGGAAAATTATTTTTTTCGCCATCTCCAAATGGTTGGTTTTTTTTCTGATCCATATATACACAACAAGACAAAAAGGGAAAGAAATTTTTTTTTTCCGGATTTCAATTTTTACAGTCAACCATTGTGGTTTCAACGTGGTCCATAATAGAACTAAGCACTCTTATATTGTCCTCTCCATCTGTACCAGCACATTTTATCACGACAGAAGTAACCTTAAACCATAGGAATACAAAACCAAATGAGTATATCGACAGTTGGAAAGTCAATCACTTACCGCATGATATGCATATGGCGCTTTTCCTTGGCGCTCGAAGTGCTTGGACATGATGCAGAGTTCGATGGGACCCCACTCTTCCGTTTCAAAGCAATTGCCAAGAGCAGCTTTGTACAGCTATTACCAAATTTATATATCAGACATAAGTTGTAAATCACAAACAACCAAGGAAAATGCAGTACAAGGTAGAAAGAGCCACATAATCATAGCACTAACAGACCTTATCAGAATCACCCAATAACTCAGTGCCGGCCGGGTAAGCCGCATAATACTTGTCTCCTCTAGAATATCCAGCTCTAGTACTGCAATAACGAAGATGAAAAGAAGTGGGACGAAAATAAAAGTATTAGCTTTGGAATCTGAATAGCAATCGAGAAAATTATACACTTGAGTTGGAACAAACAGCAAAGACTCACGTGTTGTTGGTATAAGCATAGCTCAAGATGGCAGTGAAGCAATACAACACCTACCCCACGAACCTCCTGAACTTCTGAATCTTGAGAATTTCCTTGAACCCTTCATAAACCATTATCTTCCATGATCTAATACTTTAAAATTTTCTTCACTATTTTCATTGATTTTTATTAGTTTTTACATATCACGAACCAATGCTTTTGGTGCCCAAGACTTGCCATCGAGACTGCTTTTGGGCCGGGGGATTCTAAAAGATTCGTGAATCGAAACAACAGAAAAATCACACACACTTCCAACCGTCCACTCCAACGGTTCAATGCAAAGGTGGCTTTGGCAGGCGGCTACTAATTCGTAAGACCAGACACGTTTCGAATCTCCCCTCTAGTTCCCTTCAAGCACTTCGTTTTTTTTTTTTTTTTTTTTTTCACTTTGCTTTCGTTTTGTCTTGCGAACTTGTAACCGGTGCCCAAGCGGTAATGTTTTTCAAGTCCATCATGGGAAGTTTCTTTGCAAAGCAGGAAACTCGAGGACAGATAGACTCGCTCTATGAATGAATGATGGGGTGAGTAGAGCAAATCACGAACGGGTGTCAGTTTTTAGACTATTGCGTACTTTTAAGATGCTCAACAAGGTCGTCACACGCTTATCAGAAGACTGAAACATGGTCATCCCAACCCCAATCCTACTCTTGGCATGATGCGGAAGACTGAAACATGGTCACCCACTCGCAATCCTACTCTTGGCATGATGCGGAAGACTTCAGTCCTCTGATAAGATGTGGAAGACTTCAGTCTTCTGATAAGTCATGATTGACTGAAGTCTTCCGCATCATGCCAAGAGTAGGACTGCGGGTGGGTGACCATGTTTCAGTCTTCCGCATCATGCCAAGGGTAGGATTGCGAGTGAGATGACCATGTTTCTAATGAAAATCTAGCAGCTGGAGTCTGCGGTCGCTGCCACTGTTGGGAGGATAAAGAAGCCAAGATTCAAAAGCTCATCACATCGATGCATATCTGATCAGAAGCTCCATCCAATTTCCTGATAGAGTGTTTAGACTGTGAGGGCCAGAAAACTTGCAAGCATGAGTTCTTTCACGTCCTTCTCAATCACTACTCTCTGTCTACTTCCTTTCGTTCCATTGATGATGTCAATCTCTTCTTGTTCAGCAATCTCGATTCCTAGGACTAACGAAACCGATCGAGATGCGTTGCTCCAGTTCAAGGATAAGATATCCTACTCTCCCTTCGGGGTTTTCAGCACGTGGAATGACTCTGTCCATTTCTGCCAGTGGCAGGGGATCACGTGTGGCCATCGGCATCCAAGGGTAACCCGTTTAATACTTCCGTCACTAAAACTTGTAGGCTCGCTGTCTCCTTTTATTGGAAACCTTAGCTTCCTCCAGATATTGGACATCCAAAACAATGGTTTCATTGGCGAAATCCCCCTGGAGATAGGTAACTTGTATAGACTCGGATTCTTAGGCCTAGAGAATAACTCATTCTCTGGTCAAATTCCTGCCAACATCTCAGGCTGCATAAATCTCAAAATCTTGAGACTAGGCAATAATATGCTAGTTGGTGAAGTTCCGATAGCATTTGTGTCCTTGTCGAAGCTAGCAGCGATTCTTATATACTCCAACAATCTCTCTGGAAACTTCCTTGAATTCTTTGGGAACCTCACATCTCTGGTGTACATTGCAGCGTCAACCAATAACTTTGTCGGAAGAGTTCCGGCCTCGTTGGGCCGTTTGCAACATTTGAGGTATCTTTATCTTGGTGGAAATGGATTCTACGGTACTCTCCCTTCCTCTTTCTTCAACATATCTTCTCGTCATTGTTCAGTTTCCCGATAACCAACTTGAAGGGAGTCTTCCTCCAGATTTAGGAGTCACTCTTCCTAATCTTACCGTGTTAAATGTCGCGAACAATAGTTTTACTGGGCCTATTCCTGCTTCCATATCAAATGCCACTAACTTAATGCGGCTAACAATCCCGAAGAACAAATTTTCTGGAAACGTGCCTCCTTTGGAAAAGCTAAATCAGCTGCAGTGGATAAGTATTTCGTTCAATCAGCTAGGTAGCGGAGCCCAAGGTGATCTGAAATTTCTTGAATCGGTCAATTCTACCAGCCTGGAGCTCCTGGCAATCAACATCAACAATTTCGGAGGTACTTTGCCCGAATCTATAGGCAACTTATCCTCCCAGCTGAGAATAATGTCGTTCGCGAAGAATCAATTGTTTGGAAATAGCCCATCAAGCATAGGAAATTTGCGCGGCCTAGAAGTGTTGCACATGGGCTATAACAAGTTCACGGGCAGCATTCCCGATACCATCGGAAATCTCATCAAGCTGAAGGAGTTTCAAGCTCAGATGAACAAACTCACCGGGAATATCCCCTCCACGATAGGGAACCTGACAGAGCTAATGGAACTCATCTTCAATGAGAACAAATTACAAGGAAGCATTCCTCCGAGTATTGGGAAATGCCAAAAATTGGTAGGGATCGCCCTTTCACGGAATAATCTGAGTGGAATCATACCATCTCAAGCTTTCACTATCTCTTCCCTATCTATGTATTTTGTTCTATCTGATAACCAATTCAGTGGTTCCTTACCAGAAGAACTCGGTAGATTGAATAGCTTAGCCATATTAGACGTACATGGCAATGAACTATCGGGAATTATCCCTAGTAGCCTCAGTCGATGTACTAGCTTGGTGGAGCTTCACATGCAAAATAATCTATTTGAAGGGAATATCTCTTCATTCTTGAGTTCCTTGAATGGTCTTCAGTACATAGACCTCTCGAGTAATAATTTCTCTGGGCCTATTCCGACATTCCTGGAGAAATTTCAATTGCAGTACTTGAATCTCTCTTTCAACAACTTTGAGGGCGAGGTACCGAGCAAAGGGGTGTTCCTGAACACAAGCGCGATTTCACTTGAAGGAAACAATAAGCTCTGTGGCGGTATGCTGAGCCTAGATTTGCCAAGTTGTTCGACGAGCAAAGGAAAACAGGGATTATCTACTTCCCGTTATGTTATCATCACAGTTACTTGTGGGATAGTAGCGGTGCTGATTCTTCTGTTGCTACTGATGACATTTTATTGGTCGAGGAGGAAGAATGGTAAGGCTTCTGTAGAGACTCCATCAATAGGGGGATTTCAGCAAGTGTCTTATGAAGACATTGTCAAAGCAACAGATGGGTTCAACTCTAGCAATCTGATCGGAGTGGGTAGTTTTGGATCCGTGTATAAAGGGAACCTAGCAGATGAAAACAAAATAGTGGCTGTTAAGGTTTTTGACCTGAAGCAACGAGGAGCATGCAAAAGTTTCACGGCAGAGTGCGAAGTCCTGAAAAACATAAGGCATCGGAATCTTGTTAAGATTCTTACAGCTTGTTCCAGTGGAGATTTCCAGGGCAATGAATTTAAGGCTCTGGTATACGAGTTCATGGAAAATGGTAGCTTGGAGGAGTGGTTGCATCCGAATCTTGCACCAGATGGGACGCAAAGGCATAGGTTAAGTTTTGTTCAGAGACTGAACATTGCTTTCGACGTATCATGCGCGGTGGATTATCTACATCATCAGTGCCAAACAGCAGTGATCCATTGTGACCTCAAGCCGAGCAACATTCTTCTGGATGCCCGAATGAATGGTCATGTCAGCGACTTTGGCTTAGCTAGGATATTCCCTAACGCCATTGGTGGTTTGCCCGCGAGTCAAACAAGCTCAATTGGACTTAGAGGAACCATTGGCTATGCCCCTCCAGGTATGTATACTTGCAGTAAATCCAATGTCAATCGTCCTCTTATAAGCTCTTTCCCTGATAATGCATGTAGGGAACTTCTTGTCTGCAACATCGCGCTAATATACGCAGGTCAGACTCGTTCATTTTCTGTGAAAACTCGATCTCAGCTAACTTCGGGTGCCTTATGGAACTAAACAGAACCATAGAAACTTAATAGAGTTAAGTTCAATTTAGTTCAGTTAATTTGGTTAGTCATTTGATTCAGTTGAACATTCTGTTCATAAAAGTACAAGGTTATAAGAGTAGAAAATCTGACCTTGACAAAACATGCTTAACATGCTATGTAACTTGCAGATATCAACCAAAATTCTTAATTGCATCCCCCCAATAATTTTTTCTGTTAGCATCTATACGTGCCTCCTCTTCCTTGTCCTTACGATTTGATAAGCTGATCAGCTCACGTGTCAAGTAAAATCCAACTGCAGAGTATGGAATGGGAAGTGAAGTGTCAAAAGACGGCGACGTGTACAGCTATGGGGTCCTGCTGCTGGAGATTTTCACGGGAAAGAGACCCACCCATGACATGTTTAAGGATGCTTTGAACCTTCATGATTACTGCATGGCGGCTTTGCCAGAAAGAGTGGCAGATATAGCGGATCACCCACTCCTATTTTGTGAAACAGAAGAATCATCAATTGCAGAAACTCTGAGAAATCAAAGAAACATTAGAGCTCACGTCCAAGAGTGGTTGGTGATGATATTTGAAATTGGCGTCGCCTGTACCGCACAGCTGCCACGAGATAGAATGAAGATAAGCGATGTGGTGTCAAGATTGCGTGCGCTGAAACAGAAAGTTGACAAAATGGGATTCTGCTAGAAGTGATGGAGAAATATGCGCAACATGGGGAAGATTAGGAGTTGATCGCTTAATGTTTCCTCAGTTTCTTGTTTGGACATGTTGGTTTGCATACGTTTCATGTTCGATTAGTTACTGTTTCCTCAGTCTCATGTTTTAGGCTTAGTAGATACGATTCGACGTGCTAATCCTGAAAAGGGGCAGTACGTGAAAAAACACTCCAAAGACCCTGTTCTATCAACAGCTCTATTAGCATCTTCTCTAATTCTTCTTTTACGCTTTTGTCACACAGAAAGAGAAGCGAAAATGCTCATATGGAGGAATAAAAAAAGGATGAATCCTCAAACAGTGATACTCAGCAGAGCCCAGACTCCACACCTGTTTGCCCAGAATTATCTCCGGAAACGACTTTCAAAAGAAGAGAAGGAGAATGACAAAAATTGCAAAACAGGGGACGAGAAATGTAACGTCACTTGGAGGGGGGTGGGGGCGGGGGGGAGAGGAAAGAGAAGCTTTCTAGAGAAACCCCAGAGAAGCTCCAACATCCTCAAACAGACACCATTGGTTGGTTCGGGACAAAACCCGTACTATGATGCCATTTCGATTTTCTTGATGTTGAGGGCTCGGGGTTGCGGGCGACCTGTAGAGAACCTACAGGTGCTTCAGAGCCATCGATTTCGCATCGCTCTGCCCCAGTTAACTTCACCAGCCCTCGGCTTCCATTCCCCCCTCTCTCTCTCTCTCTGTGACAGTCGACTGAGGAAACTCTACTGTCAACGCTCGCTCGTCATTTTGTACGTGAAAGTTCTGGGACAGAGAGTGACAAAGCTACTGAACAAACACAACACCAGCACGTGAAGTAGTTTTGAAGTGGTCAAATTTCAGTTTTACATGTCTTCAATAATGTAGTAATGGAGTCCTAGTTTGTAGGGGTTTGTTTCTACACGTTTTAGTTAGTGGGATATGTTAGTGGGTCTTTGTTATTGTTATCCTGTTGTTATTTTTTTGCTGAGCAGTTTTCAATGTTATGCCTATTCAATAGGCTTGTGATCTGTTGAGTAAAAGTACGAGAGTTTTTCAGCAGCAATTTTTTGTGTGTGTCCTCTTCTACTTTTTGCTCTCTTTAGAGGTTATTGAACCATACTTGCCGCTTGTTCTTTTTCAACAATCTGGTATCAGAGCCAGATTCTGGGTATTTCGTGAGCATCTCTATTGCCAAGATGGGTGATCTTCAAGTTGTTGGCGGAATCAAGAAGCTCAGCAACCAAAACTACAATTCTTGGTCTACCTGCATGATGTCTTATATGCAGGGCCAGGATTTGTGGGAGGTTGTCAATGGAAACGATGTGAGACAACCGGAGGCTGAAGATGCGAATGGGACATTGCGGAAGTGGAAGATTAAAGCGGGCAAAGCCATGTTCGTTTTGAAGACGACAGTTGAAGAGGATGTGCTGGAGCATATCCGAGATGCGGAAACTCCCAAAGAAGCTTGGGATACGTTCGCCAAGCTGTTCTCTAAGAAGAATGATACGAAGCTCCAACTCTTAGAAAGTGAGTTGTTGTCGATGGCGCAACGCGACATGACGGTCACTCAGTACTTCCACAAAGTGAAGACGTTATGCCGAGAGATTACTGAATTGGATCCGGAGGCTCCGATTGGCGATACCAGGATGAAGCGGATCATCATCCATGGTTTGAAGCCAGAATTCAGGAGTTTTGTTGCTGCCATACAAGGATGGCAAACTCAGCCGTCGCTTGTCGAATTCGAAAATTTGCTAGCTGGTCAAGAAGCATTAGCCAAGCAAATGGGAGGAGTCTCGTTGAAGAATGGAGAAGAGGCACTCTACGCCAACAAAGGCAAGTGGAATTCCAAGCGGCATGCCCACGGTGGATCCAAAAAGAACGATGACAAGGCGAGAAGTCATCAAGATGAAGGGAGCGTTCGTGCATGGAAAGGTTCTAAGAACCACGGCAATGGCCAAAAGTTTGAAGGGAAGTGCTACAACTGCAATAAAAAAGGTCATATGGCGAAAGATTGCTGGTCAAAAAAGAAGGCCATCGAGAGTAACGTTGCTACTTCAAAAAACGAAGACGAATGGGATGCTGAGGCTTTCTTTGCTGTAGATAAGGAGGAGCTAGCTCTTACTGCAACAACATTCAATCAAATCGATTATGAGAATGATTGGATTGTTGACTCGGGTTGCTCAAACCATATGACCGGCGATAAAGAAAAGTTGCAGAACTTGTCGGAGTACAAGGGAAGTCGGGTGGTGGTGACGGCGAATAACTCAAAGTTACCGATAGCCCACATCGGTAATACGACCGTCTCTCCCCAATGTAGCGATGCCGAGGTGCCACTCCAAAACGTCTATCATGTTCCAGGTATGAGAAAAAATCTTCTCTCAGTAGCACAATTAACATCTTCTGGCCATTTTGTTCTGTTTGGTCCACAAGATGTGAAGATATATCGAGACCTTGAGATAACAGAAGAGCCAGTAATGAAGGGACAAAGAACGGAGTTTGTCTACGTAATGTCTGCGGAAACCGCATATGTAGACAAGACGAGAAGAAATGAGACAGCAAACTTATGGCACATGCGACTAAGTCACGTTAGCTATTCCAAGCTAGATGTGATGATGAAGAAGTCGATGTTGAAGGGACTTCCACAACTTGAAGTGAGAACAGACACTATATGTGCAGGCTGTCAGTATGGAAAAGCGCACCAGTTGCCATATGAAGAGTCTAAATTTAAAGCGAAGGAACCATTAGAGTTAATACACTCTGATGTGTTTGGACCAATTAAGCAAGCCTCCGTTGGTGGGATGAAGTATATGGTGACCTTCATTGACGACTTCTCGAGGTACGTGTGGGTTTACTTTATGAAGGAAAAATCTGAAACTCTTTCAAAATTCATAGAGTTCAAGAACGTAGCGGAAGCGGAGGTTGGTAAAAGAGTCCGTTGTCTACGCACCGACAATGGGGGAGAGTACATCTCAAATGAGTTCACAGATTTCCTTCAGAAGTGCAGAATACGCCATCAGTTCACATGTGCTAGCACTCCGCAGCAAAACGGGGTGTCAGAAAGGAAAAACAGGCATCTGGCATAAGTATGTCGAAGTATGCTTCATTCAAAGAGTGTTCCGGGACGGTTTTGGGCGGAAGCTATGAAGACTGCGGCCTTCGTGACCAATAGGCTTCCTCAACAAAGGTTATGCTTTTGTTCACCCTTTGAAAAAATATGGAACATGAAGCCTGCTGTTGGTCATTTTCGAGTTTTTGGATGCGTGTGCTATGTATTTGTACCTGACCAGTTACGTAGCAAGATGGAGAAAAAGGCTGTTAGGTGTATCTTTGTAGGATACGACAGTCAAAGAAAAGGGTGGCGATGTTGCGATCCAACAACTGGGAAATGCTACACATCTCGGAATGTGGTGTTTGATGAAGCTTCCTCATGGTGGTCCTCGAACAAGGAAGTACTACCGGACTCGGATGTTTTTAAGGAAATGTTAGAAATTTCTCAATTCCAGTTGAGTTCAAGTGAAACAGAGGTTGCAGACGACGATGTAGATGTTGAAGAAGGCATAGCTCAAAATCCTTGGCAAACAGGTGTATACCAAAGGCCAAGCGAAGAAGATGAGCCAAGTGGAGCAAGTACACCAACTGCACTTAGAAGGTCAACAAGAGCCCGAAAACCAAATCCTAAGTATGCTAATGCCGCCATAGTAGAAGAGGCAGATGCAAAAGAGCCTGAGACATTTGAGGAAGCGTCTCAGAGTTCGGAATGGATTAAGTCTATGGAAGAGGAAATTGTTGCGTTAGAGCGAAATCAGACTTGGGAGCTCATACCAAAGCCAAGAGATGTGAAGCCTATTTCTTGCAAATGGGTGTACAAGATAAAGCGCCGCACAGATGGATCAATAGAGAGGCACAAAGCTCGTCTGGTAGCTCGAGGGTTCTCTCAACAATATGGACTAGACTATGATGAAACATTTAGTCCAGTTGCGAAGTTTACAACTGTACGAGTTCTACTGGCACTTGCAGCAAGCAAAAGTTGGAACTTGTGGCAAATGGACGTGAAAAATGCATTTTTGCATGGGGAGCTAGATCGGGAGATCTACATGAGCCAACCAATGGGCTTTCAGAATCAAGATCATCCTGAGTATGTGTGTAAGCTCCGGAAGGCTCTCTATGGGCTAAAACAAGCACCGAGGGCTTGGTATGGTAAGATTGCTGAATTTCTTACTCATAGTGGTTATTCGGTGACATGTGCGGATTCTAGCTTGTTTGTCAAAGCTAAAGGAGGGAAGCTAGCTATTTTGCTGGTGTATGTGGATGATTTAATCATCACAGGAAATTGGGAAGAAGAAATTCTCCAAACCAAGGAGAATTTGTCAGTTCGCTTTCAGATGAAAGAACTTGGACAGCTCAAACATTTTCTTGGTTTAGAGGTCGACTACACTCAGGAAGGAATATTTCTCCATCAGCAAAAGTATTCAAAAGATTTGTTGAAGAAATTTGCAATGCTTAGATGCAAGCCAATCTCGACACCGATGGAGGCAAACGTCAAAATGTGTGCTCATGAAGGGAAAGATTTAGAAGATGCTACCATGTATCGGCAGTTGGTGGGTAGTCTTATCTACTTAACTTTAACAAGACCGGATGTTTCTTTTGCAGTTGGTGTGATGAGTCGCTACATGCAAAATCCAAAGAAGACTCATTTGGAATCAGTTCGTCGAATCTTGAGATATGTGAAGAGCACGCTTGGCTATGGTATTATGTACAAGAAAGGTGGAGATTGTAGACTAGTTGGCTACTGTGATGCCGACTATGCAGGTGACCATGATTCCCGGCGTTCAACTACTGGGTATGTCTTCATGCTTGGGTCCGGAGCAATTTCTTGGTGTAGTAAAAGACAACCAACGGTGTCTTTGTCAACCACGGAAGCAGAATACCGAGCAGCAGCGATGGCAGCTCAAGAAAGCACTTGGCTTATGCAGTTATTGAAAGACTTGCATCAACCAACAGAGTATGGTGTCTCTTTGTACTGCGACAACTTGTCGGCAATACGTTTGGCGGAGAATCCAGTTTTTCATGCAAGAACTAAGCATGTGGAGGTGCATCATCACTTTATCGGAGAGAAAGTCTTGCAAGAAGAAATTGAGTTGGAGCATGTCAAAACAGAAAACCAAGTTGCAGATTTGTTTACAAAAAGCTTGAGTAGCAATAAGTTCGAAAGTTTCTATCATCAGCTCGGTATGGTGAAAAGAGTAGAAGCTGGTGTTGAGGGGGAGTATTGAACAAACACAACACCAGCACGTAAAGTAGTTTTGAAGTGGTCAAATTTCAGTTTTACATGTCTTCAATAATGTAGTAGTGGAGTCCTAGTTTGTAGGGGTTTGTTTCTACACGTTTTAGTTAGTGGGATATGTTAGTGGGTCTTTGTTATTGTTATCCTGTTGTTATTTTCTTGCTGAGCAGTTTTCAATGTTATGCCTATTCAATAGGCTTGTGATCTGTTGAGTAAAAGTACGAGAGTTTTTTAGCAGCAATTTTTTGTGTGTGTCCTCTTCTACTTTTTGCTCTCTTTAGAGGTTATTGAACCATACTTGCCGCTTGTTCTTTTTCAACAAAAGCACGGTAGAAAATGGCGGCTGAAGCCCGCCTGGAAGTCTTCCCTTCTTAGATTTCAGCCCCTGCTTAGATCCAGCTACCGCCCCGCCCAATGAATGGGCCTAGACAAATGACTCTGAATTTGATGCCTTCCGCCCTCTATACTTGGGGGAAACAGGGCAGAATGCTTCCGGTGCTCCAAAGCGCGCTGGCCGCCCTGGAAGCGAATGCTGCATTGATGCCTAGTAGAGTTGTGACACTTTGTGGCATAAGCCCGACCGCCGCGCGACTTTGGCCTCGAGCTACACGGCGCAGGCCTGAAACTTCGAGGCATTGGCCCGTGCTGCGCAGCATGGACTTGGTGCTGCGTAGCGCATGCTTGACGAAGCACAATGCTGCTGTGCTGGCTTTGTGCTACACGGCATTAGTGAGGCAGGGACCTTTTTCCTTTTGGAAAAGAATAGTCAACGAAACATTAATCATGCACGATATTTTAGTCTGATGTCCAATCAATCCAATCCTTGCATCGTGGACGAACGCTTGTGACCCAAACTTTTGGGAAGAGCGAACTATTTTTTCCTTCTCGGTTCAAGGTACGAAGGGGCAAACCTCTCTGATCGAGATGTGATGAGCAAAATCGTGACGATGCAGTGCAGTCAAGAACATAGCAAGACAGGCTCATGGGCCTGGTTGTCCGAGATTCGCATGGGCTTGGTAGGTCGGAAGCATTAATAGAACTGGCCGACAAGGCAACGAAGAAGAACATTATCCTGGAAAATGGCATCGCCAACCAATCTTTTGGGAACTTCCTGAATGTCTTAAATTTTGATCCTGTTTTGATTTCTAGGGTTTAATCGGGTCGCTTCACAAATGAACCAGAAGATGATTCCTTCCAATATTGAGTACAAAATCCCCGGATTTACTTCCTGCAACTGCCAATTAAGAATGGTTAGTAACTTGGTAATTCCATCTTAAGGTGGGATTTATCATGCACCGGTTGTCTAATTGATAGAGCAGTTCATCCGAAACAAAAGTCAAGTGGGAGCTCTCTCGGAGTAAAATCCTAATGAATTCGGCTAATCAGGAGGAGTGCACTCTTAGAAATACTAGTCCAATGGAGTTGTGTGAAATTGACTTGTACACCAGCTGATTGCTAAATAAAAAAAAAAATAAGAGTCCTATACACAACAACAAACCCATGGAGCAAACAATGGGATCTCTATAGGATCTTCATATAAATTACTTGCTACATATAATACTCTTGAGGGAGATTTCATCTCTTGCCTGTGAATTGATTATTGAGCATTGTGCTCTCTAATCTAAAAATTTTGTCCCGCTGCTACTCCATTGTTTTAGACATTACTCGTTGTTTAATATATTGTTTGAACGGCGATTATGTCGTTGCTCCTTAATAAATAATAAAGAAAAAGATAAGTCGAGACCGATGCCGTTGAGGGTTCTCTTAATATAGGTTAATTTAACCACATGTTTTTTTTGATCTACTGTTTACATACAGTGACAGCAAGTAGATGAGAGTAACCCATCTCTCAAAGACCCATCCAGAAGGCAAAAGGAAGTGAGCTTTCTAAGGTATATTTTATGCAACGTACGTCAAAATCTACAACTCGTTTAGTAATACAATCACATATAATTGGGTTAGCGAAGGCGACTGATGTTAACTCGTCGACACTCTCATCTCCTATTATATGCTCTTTTTTATCTGACATGTCGTGATCATTAGTTGAAGGTAGGTCCCATTGTTCTAGTGCAATGGACAATGAATCACTACTTGGAGCCTCGTCCTGCTTTATTTTGGGTCATGACATATCGACCGGCGATGGACATGCTCTTAAAATAATAAGAAAAACCAGAAACCCAAGTTAATAACCTGTCTAATTTTAAGGTCACAACGACAAAGATTATGCAGGAGTCGAACTGACGTGGGGGAAAAGTGTCAAAAAAGTCATAAATTTTTGACATTGATGCCAATTTAGTCATAAACCTTTTGCATTGGTGCTAATTTAGTTCTAAACCTTTTTTGGGTGTCAATTCAATTTTAAACCTTTGTATTGGTGCCAATTTAGTCTTAAACCTTTTGTTTTTGTGCCAATTTAGTCATTCCAGCCAATTTTGGCCGGATTTTGCTAACGTGGACACCGGTCAGCTGGTTACCGGCGCTGATGTTGATAACTTTTAATAATATTTTAATAATTTTTTTGAATATTTATTTATTTTTTTCTTTTTTTTCCCCTCCCTTCCCTCCTTCCTCTAGTGGGTCCCCGGACCAGCGATTGGCCAGAGGTCGGCAAGACTCGCCCTCGCCCGCAACAGCAAAGGCGAGCCACGCCATGGCTGGGTGAGGCTGGACCTCACCAGATCTGGCGAGGTTGTGCCTTGCCCACAAAAATGTAATTTTTCTGGAAAAATTGAGGATGCAAACTTGTATTCTGGAAAAAAATTAGAGGATGTAAAGTGGTCTTGATTAGTGAAAAGAAAAAAGGGGAAGGTAATTGGTATTTTTCTTATATATATCATGCCACGGCCACGGTACATGATTAAAGGATGCCATCCTCGGCAAGAGCAGAACTTTACAAAAGCAGGGTGCAACTTAATCGACATTTTGGTCATGATTAGACTCGCCACCACAGAACATCTCACGATGCACATGATCTGGTAATGAACATATCACCCACCCGCCTTGCCGTGCTTGCTTTTTCTAAAGCATGCTTGCATGAAGGTGACGGTCTTAAATGGAGAAAACGAGATGAGAAAGAGAAAAGGAAAAAAAGGAACAGAGGAGAGGAACGCAGGACTCGGCAACTTTTCATGTGGGAAATTAGGCAGATTAGTGCATGTTTAAAAGCTTAGTTTAAGCAGCGAAGCACCAGGGGAATGGGGACCCTGCCATAAAACAAAAGAGATTAGTTAAGTTGCCTCCGGATTGATTAAGCTTTTTTTGACTTGACAAATGAATCTTTTGTCGTCTTATAAGTTCCGCAGGACTTGCCAATTAGCTTCGTAACGCTACACCAATTGATTCGTCATCAAGTAATTGTTTGAATAATTGAGAGCTCGGGGGGGCTTCTAGACCTTCGAGTAGCCGATTTATTTTTTTTTTCTTTAGCATTTCTTTCGTTGAAAAATAGAGCGCACATCGTCACCGTAAAAAAAAATCTTACACGGGTAACTTTATTCACCGTCGATTTAAAGAAGTATAAGTATCAACTCTCTCAACTCAACGGTGCACAAAGCTGCTCGTTCAAAACCTTCTTTAGACCAGAGGTATATGTTATAATGACTGCTAGAAAATATTTCGGGTCAAGGCTACGACGGGACATTCTCAAACAAATATTGGATACCCGGCAGAGTTTTATTAGTACTCAACGAGCAATATAATCGTCAATGTTATAGCCGTTATGAAGGCTCTAATGCCCTTAATTGAAATCGATGGTTGCGATGGAAGTCGATCAGGAGCCCGGCTGTCAGAGATGAGGTTTGAGCGGGGGTCAAGCAATGGTAATTTAGCCATAAGAACTCGACCCGTGCGTGAATTTTATCTCACATTCCATGCAATGCATTTATGTGCACAGAAAACATCGTCTCCTGCAACGGCGAATTGCGAAATGAACGTGCTAGCCCGAAATGCCCCATGTCACACGGCCGGCGCCACGTGTACCCCCACCTCGGGGTTAACCCAACCCCCATGTCACACGGCCGGCGCCACGTGTACCCCCACCTTAACCCCCGCCTCGGGTTAACCCAACCAGAGAAGCCGGTTAAATCTCTCCCTCTCTGTCTCTCTCTCTCTCTCTCTCGACCCACTTCGTCCGGTTCAAAAAGTTCCAGACAGCCCCAGCTCCATCTCCTGGCTGGTCCCCCAATCCGGTTCAAATCACCCAGCACCACTGACTCCACTTCAGCCTGCCTGACAAACCCCACCGCCGTATATCTATACGTATATCTCTATCTATATATATACGCGCACACGCTCACTCTCTCTCCCCACTTCGCAAAAATTCACCTCGGACTCTCTCTCTCCTCTTTCTCTCTCTCGTCAGCAATATCATCAGAAAGTGTTGCAGAAAAACACCGTCTCATCACATCACTCCCGACCTCTGCTGCTGCTGCTACTGAAGCGAAAGGAAGGAAGGAAGGAAGACCCCAGTACCATATCATCCTTTCTTTCCCGAGTTCGTTACTCAACGGTTGTTGCCCCACCTCCTCACCCCGGGTTTCCCCGTATTGTCCCTCCCCTCCGCCGGCGGAACCATGATCACGGGGCACGACCTGTACACCGTCCTGTCGGCGATGGTCCCGCTCTACGTGGCCATGATCCTGGCCTACGGCTCCGTCCGGTGGTGGAAGATCTTCTCCGCCGACCAGTGCTCCGGCATCAACCGCTTCGTGGCCATCTTCGCCGTCCCGCTCCTCTCCTTCCACTTCATCGCCAAGAACGACATCTACGCCATGAACCTGCGCTTCATCGCCGCCGACACCCTCCAGAAGCTCATCATGCTCGCCGTCCTCGGCCTGTGGGCCAACTTCACCCGCAACGGCTCCCTCGAGTGGACGATCACCATCTTCTCCCTCTCCACCCTCCCCAACACCCTCGTCATGGGCATCCCCCTCCTGGAGGCCATGTACGGCCCCGGCGCCAGCAAGCGCGACGACGCCGGCGGCCTCATGGTCCAGGTCGTCGTCCTCCAGTGCATCGTCTGGTACACCCTCCTCCTCTTCCTCTTCGAGTACCGCGGCGCCAAGATCCTCATCATGGAGCAGTTCCCCGAGACCGCCGCCTCCATCGTCTCCTTCAAGGTGGAGTCCGACGTCGTCTCCCTCGACGGCCGGGACTTCCTCGAGACCGACGCCGAGATCGGCGACGACGGCAAGCTCCACGTCACCCTGCGGAAGTCCAACGCGTCCAGGCGGTCCCTCGGCCCCGGCTCCTTCTCCGGCCTCACCCCGAGGCCGTCCAACCTCACCGGCGCCGAGATTTACAGCCTCAGCTCCTCCCGCAACCCCACCCCGAGGGGCTCCAACTTCAACCAGTCCGACTTCTACTCCATGATGGGGTTCGCCCCGAGGCGGTCCAACTTCGGGTCGGCGGATCTGTACTCGGTCCAGTCCTCCCGCGGCCCGACCCCGAGGCCATCGAACTTCGAGGAGAACTCCGCGGCAATGGCACAGTCTGTACCGTCCCCGAGATTCGGGTTCTACCCGGCGCAGACGGTTCCGACCGCGTACCCGGCTCCGAATCCGGAAATCGCATCCGCTTTCCCCAAAAGCAGCAAGAACTCGCAACAGCAACAGCAGCAGCAGCAACAGCAGCAGCAGCCAAAGCAGCAGGAAGGCAAAGCCAACCATGACGCCAAGGAGCTCCACATGTTCGTGTGGAGCTCCAGCGCGTCGCCGGTGTCCGAAGGAGGCGGGCACCACGTGTTCGGCGGGAACGAATTCGGGGCGTCCGAGCAATCCGGGCGGTCCGATCAGGGCGCCAAGGAGATCCGGATGATCGTCGCTGACCACCCACCCAATGGCGAAACCAAAGGTAGTCCATTTTTTTTTTTTCTCTATGTTCTTGGTTATCAACACACAGCTAATTTAATAATTAATCTACTAGCAAGGGGCAAGAAAATTTCTGTTTGGAAGAATTTCTTAATTAGTATCTTTCGTTTGGCTCACATTACTTACGACCATCAAATTACTAATGTTTTTTTTGTTCATGTGAATTTCTAAATATTAAAAATTTTGAAACGTTATGTGGTCGTGATGATGTAAAAAGCGGTTGCGGAAGCTGAGGGCGTGGGCGGGGATGACTTCAGCTTCGGTGGGAAAGGCGGGGAGGGGGACGAGGAGCGGGAGAACAAGGAGGGCCCCGCCGGGCTGACCAAGCTGGGGTCGAGCTCCATGGCGGAGCTGCACCCGAAGGCGGCGGCGGCAGCGGCCGCGGGGGGAGGAGGAGTGGCGGCGGCAGCGCCGGGCGTTGGCGTCGGGGTCGGTGGCGGCGGCGGCGAGGTCGGGAAGCAGATGCCGCCGGCGAGCGTCATGACCCGACTCATCCTCATCATGGTGTGGCGCAAGCTCATCCGCAACCCGAACACCTACTCCAGCCTCATCGGCCTCACGTGGTCCCTCGTCGCCTTCCGGTGAGCCTCAAAAGAAAGATACTCAAATTCCCAAAAATTCGATGTTGGTGTTGTTGATGATATCCAATTGATTGTCGATCGTAGGTGGAACGTGAAAATGCCGGTGATAGTAAACGAGTCGATCGAGATACTGGCCCGTGCCGGGCTGGGAATGGCTATGTTCAGCTTAGGTGAGCGTGGGGGGGCGCCATTTTACTTCCGTAGGCCTTTTTCGTTCATGCTCTTTTCCCATAATCTGCACAGACCCGACATGCCACGCCGTGCGCTCATGCGCGTCCCGTAAGGGCAAATCCACGAGCCACACCCCCATGCTGTCAATTTGCACCCAAAAACAAACAAAGAACACGAATCGTACCTTCCGAAGCAAAAAAAAAAAAATATTATCGACACGTCGAAAACGATTAAGGAAATTGCTTCTGTGATTTTTACTCGACGGTCCGTGTTCGCTTGTTTTTCTTGTTCTCTTGTCTTCGTGCTTTTTGTTTTTGTCATTTTTTTTTTGGGTGCCCTTTTTTTTTTGAATGAAATTTTGGAGGGGTTGTTGGTGGCTAACTAGAGGGCCATAAATGTTCGACGGCGACCCTGTCGCGGGAGGGGGGCAGGATCACGTGCCGCGGCAACGCGGCGTGTTCCGGTGGTCACGCACTCCCGCGAGGCCTATCGTCGTCAATCGCAATTGATTGGGCGATTTGATGATTTTTTCGGGACCATGAGGAGGTGGGGCCCTGCTCGCAGGACGTCGCTTGCGGTCCTGTAAGGTGGTGGCATCATTGAAACCCCCCCATTAGAATTAGATGCCGGTCCTCTCCTACCGTATCAAGGCTCAATTCAACTATAATGTGTGATGGTGGAGTTTTATAGGAAGTTTTAGTGTCGAAGATTCATCCCTGCTTGCAGATGTCACTAAGCTTTGAAAAATAATATAACGTGTATTGTTGACACTCTATGTCTGTTGCAGTAATCATGGGTTTTTCTTTTCTTTTTCTTTTTCTCCCATAATTTATCTAGTGTGGGGGAGGTGGTGGTGGTGGTGTTGATTGAGGTGGTTGTGTGATTTGGTAGGTCTGTTCATGGCCCTGCAACCCAAGATCATCGCGTGCGGGAACTCGGTCGCGGCGTTCACCATGGCGGTGAGGTTCCTCACCGGCCCGGCCGTGATGGCCGCCGCTTCGATCGCCATCGGCTTGCACGGGAGGCTCCTTCACATCGCCATCGTCCAGGTGCCCGCTTCCGATCTCTTCATCTGATTCGCATTGCGACGATTGTCCAAACGGGGGGCAATCTTGATGTTTGGGTTCGGTCTAATTCGTTATGTTTCGGCGCGAACAGGCGGCTCTTCCGCAGGGCATCGTGCCGTTCGTGTTCGCCAAGGAGTACAACGTCCATCCAACCATTCTCAGCACGGGGTAAGTTCACTTCTCGCCGAGCTTGGTGCTACGAAAGTTCATCTAACTAACGAATTATGCGTGACCAAATCGTCCCGTTTCCGCATTTTCCAGGGTGATTTTCGGGATGTTGATAGCGCTGCCGATTACCTTAGTGTATTACATCCTACTCTGGCTGTGAACTTTCCCCTCGACCCGGCTCGATTCGATTTAACTTTAGATTGGGGGGAGCGAGCAAACGGAGGAGGAAGGAAGGGCAACAAAGACTAATATACACTGTATGATGCATCTTACATGAGGAATTCCTGGAGGGAGGATGGAAGGAAAGATCCCAAAATGCTTGGAAGCAAAAGAACATAAAAGCTCTGACCCTAGTGCCAGGATTGCTGCCTCCCCCCTCCACCGCCCAAAAAGTCAAACGAGTCTCTCTCTCTCTCTCTCTCTCTCTACCTAATTCCCGAAGACCCTTTTTTGAAGAGAACAACGCCTCCAAAGCTCTCGTCTTGCTTGAAGGAGACATGGAAGAGGGAAAGAAGGAAGAAAAAAAAAAATATTAGAATGCGATGAGCGGGTCAATCGATCATGTTTTTTCTTTTCTTTTCTTTTTTTTTCTTTGGTGAACTTCTTCCGTCTGGTCGTGTGCTACGCGGGCGAAAGCTAGGTTACGAGGTTCATCTTCGCCCGTGAAGACGACAAAAAAAGAAAAAAAACATGAGGAATCCGATTGTTAGTTTAATCGAAGAAAGATGATGAGAGCGGGAGTTTCGTTATCCCCTTCTAACCTCTTTTTTTCCTTTTTGTGTTTCTTTTCTCCTGTGGGTGGGTGTGTTTTGGTATCTAGCTAGCGGCGTTGTTCCAGTCGTCCGTAAGATCAGATCAGGCAATTATTTGCGCTTTGTCGTGTTTCATGGCCCCCCCCTCTCTCTCTTTTCTTTAAATTGCTGTCGTAGTTTTTTTTTTTTCTTCTTTTTTGGGCCTGAGGACATCGTATGACGGACGATGAAAAGGGGGCGCTGGATTGGATTGCGTGGGCGGTACTCGTGTCCATTCGAGTAAACAGGCTTCGTGTTAATGATGAGATGACGTTTTGCTTTTCCTTGTAAAGAACGAGAGTCGTGCGGTGCAATGTCGATGATGTGTGTTTTTAGCTTTGCTTTCGCGGAATCGGGAGCTCAATAATGGAGGCCGGAAATCAAAATGAAATAGATCCGACAACGTGTTTCAACTTTTGGTGAAAGGCACGTATGATTTCTCGCCACTCCGGTGGCCCTTTTGAGGACTCTTTTTTCTTGCATGGAGCCCGTCCGTCCCACCTTCCCCACCTCCCTCCCCGCTTTCTCTCTCTTTTATTGCGAGATGATAAGGAGAGCCGAAAAGGTGGAGTCAAAGGTGCTCTGTTTGGGCATTTTGCCTTTTCGAGACTTTTAGTCGCTTAAATGTGTTGCTTTTGGGCCACGAAATCGTCTTAACTTAACCGAGTTAATCCGCCTTTCTTGCTTGCTTTCCTTTCTTCTCTCGACGACCATGATGGTGCGTGGATCGTTCTTCTTTTTCGCGCGCACGATTGTTCTCGCATTTGAAAACCGTCTTCCTCTTTTTTGACGAATCCCGTTCCGCATTGAACCAGACGAGACCTCCTCTTCGTACCCCCCGACGCCGCATTCGCCGTTTAACGCGGGATTTGATCGGGGTTTCTTGATTTCACGAGGATAATTGAGCTCGCTATTGTGTAACTTTGATCCTTTTATTGGGCATGCTCGTTTGCATCAAGAGGCATACTTCTAATTGTTTTATTGATCGGATTGACCTAAGAGGCTAGATATGAGATAATTACCAAAAAAGTCACAAATCTATTACAATTTTGTCAATTCACTAACGTAATCCATCCGGTTAATTTTGGCCGAAATCACTAATGTGGAATCCAATGCAGCACGGCCAGTGCTGACATGGACAAATTTTTAATTTTTTTCGAATATTTTCTTTATTTGGCCCCCCCCTTTTTTTTTTTTTTTCTTTTTTCTTCTCTTTTCCTTTTTTTTTTCATTATGGCTGGTGAGGGTTGTCGGAGCTTATCCACCACTGGGCGAGGGTCGCAAAGCCCTCACCGGCCATTAGAAGAGGGTTGTGGCCCTTGTCTGGCATCGCACATATCTGGGCGAGATTATAGGACGACCGGCATTTACGTCAGCGATTTTTGAAAAAGGTTTTGCCTGATACACAACATTGACAAATTATCAAAAAGGTTAGGACTAAATCAACCCAATTGAAAGGTTTAGAAATGAATTGACGTAAGTGCAATAAATTTACGACTTTTTCAATAATTTTCCCCACTGGACAGCACACACTAAAAAGCAGGTAGCATTTGATAACAATTGTTGTAACCGGTCAAATTTTGCTTCTTTGTACATGCACATGACTGGTGAAGAAAGCTACGTTGTATATGCTAGGGTTAGGAGCCTGTCAATCGGCACTAGGAGCTTCTTGACTTGATGATATCCACGAATTTCAACTCAATTAGGTTAAATATTGGTGCTCCAATGGACTTCCCACTTATGTCTCACTGCACCCTTCCCAAAAATGGCGTCGAGTCTCGACCATGATTAAGAACGTCGAACACGTTGATTTGGCTGAAGCACGACCGAATTTTGTTTGGCCATCAGTATTCCATGGCGTGTTTGATTGACTCGAATGCAGCTGGAGAAGAGATCCTGAAGCATTCGGATGAGAAGTCGAAGGCCAGTTCCAGCTAAGGGATTTCAATCTTGCTGCTGGAACAGGTCGTGACTTTTAATGGTAATGGTGAACAGTTAAGAGGTGGGTCATATTTGTGTCTGTCTGCACGATCCATAGTGTCTATATTCACACTAAATGGATAAAATATATCCAACACTTTCGGTAAGAAAATTTCCGAAAAAAAAAGCTATAAACCTATTGTACAGATGTCAATTTTAGGGGTGAGCGGTTCCCGGTCCGGTCCGATCCAACTCAAGAACCGGAAACCGGATCGGGAGGACCGGTTCCCAGTTTCTAAGACCGGGGACTGGACCGCTAGTCTTGGGACCATGGACCGGACTGGACCATCGGTCCGGTTCGGTTCCAATGGGACCAATCTCTTATTGGTAAAGGTAAAAGGGAAATGGGGAAATTAGATTAGGATTTCTATTTTTTTCAAAAATTTTAAAAAGTAAATAAATATATATGAAAAATATATATATTTATCGGTCCGCTCCGGTCCGATTCCCATCCTAGAACCGGGAACCAGACTGCTTGGAAACCGGTTCCACTTTTAAGAACCAAGAACCAGACCGATATTCCAGAGAACCGGACCAAACCGATCGGTCCGGTCCCGGTTTGGGCGGTCCGTCTTGCTCACCCCTAGTCAATTTGATCTTGAAACCTTTTATTTTGGCAAATTTAGTCATAAAATCTTTTGACAATTTGTCAAATTAGTCATTTCGATCAATTTAAACTAGAAATCGCTTGCGTGAACATCGGTTGTGCCACATAGGAAAGCCAGCAATGACGTGAATAATTTTTAATTTTTTTTTATTTTTTGTCTATTCTTTTTTTTTTTCACTATGGCCTCGGGAGATCTGGGTGAAGCCATGCGGCCCCACCAACCACAGGCGAGGCGGAAAGTGAGGGCCTTCGCGGCTTCACCAGTCGCAGGCAAGGTTCGTAGGCCACAATGACAAAAAAATAAAAGAAAATAATAAAAAATTAAAAATATTGTAAAAATTGTCCACGTTAGCGTCGGCCATGCACGTAGGACGGTCGACATCTACGTTGCTGATTTTCGGCAAATTTACTAAATTGTCAAAATGTTTATGATTAAATTGGCCAAACAGAACGGTTTTTGATTGAATTGCATCCGTATAATAGGTTTATGACTTTTATTGATAGTTTTTCCCACTTTCGACTGGTTTGAGACAGGCAAAAGTCTACAGGCAGGTCTGATATTAAAAACGTTAGATAAGTTTATGCCTATCCAACTTTATATAGGTCATCCATTAAAAATTTGATGTATGGCAATACGTTTGCATTATTTTAGCTAAGCTAAATGCTCAATCCGTTCCCCCGTTGCGACGCCTCTACCAATGTCATGCCATTTATTAATGACCCGACCCGATTTACATTAGCCGAACCTGCAAAAAGAAGTTTTGAAGGCGACGATCATTCTTGAACTGTCGTGCTTATGCCTCATTTGCAAGAATTCATCTCTTCACTCAGGTGGGACTTGAAACAACACATGCAAAAGTAACAAAATGTTCCAATTTTCCTTTTGAGCAAGTGATAATTTTTTTTTTTCCGTTTGAGAATATGTAAGTTTCCACCATAGATGTTTAGATTCATTTCAGTAATTTCGGGAACTCTTCATTTCAGAAGTACATTTTGCCAAATCTCCAAACGAGTAGTTTTCAAGGAAGTCTATCAGTTTGGTGGCTTTGGAAGGACAAAAGTAGGTTGCATAGCCCCCCCTATGGTTGAACATCTTTTCCATCAAAATTTGTAATTATATAACATTTTATTATTTTTTTCAAACTTTTGTATTTTTCCATGTTTTTCTTTTCATTCTCTTTTCCTTCTTTACTTGTTTCTTTTTTTTTTTTTTTTTTCTGTTTCTCTTCTTTTCCTTTTTCTCCTTTTCCCTCTGCTGGCCTTAAGCGAGGACCGCCCTCTCCAGGGGTCGCTGAGGGCAACCCTTTGCTAGATCAGGTGAGGGTTTTCCCTCACTCGAGGCCGACGAGGGCAACCCTCGCTGGCCATAGTAAGAAAAAAGAAAAGAAGGAAAAGAGAAGAAAAGAAAAAATTTGAACACATTTAAAAAAATTATTCACGTCAGTGTCGGACGTGTCACGTAGGATGGCCAGCTTCAACCTCAACGATTTCCGGCCAAATTGGCCGGATGGGATCAATTGACAAAACATGAAAATATTTATGACTCAAGTGACACAATTAAAATGTTACGACTGAATTGATATAGTTGTAATTGATTTAAAACTTTTTAGATAATTTTCTCAAAAACTTTTGTGATCACCTTCCGCCAGATAAGATAGGTAAAACTTGGAAACATATGAGTTTTGAGGCGGGAATTGGGTCGAGTATATAACTCGGTGCACGCAAGGGGGGGGGGGGGGGTGTTCGGCCACCAATTTTGTAAGTTCTACTTAAGACCTATGCATTATTTTTTTCGTAACCTAGTCAATTTAGGTGGTGGATTCCACCTAATGTTGGTGCTTGAAATATGCAACGAAACACCAAATAAATTCCTACGACTTTGAATCTCTCCACTAAGCTTTGGAATTAAACTATAACTCCAGGGGTTTCTGAAAACCTCCCCCCCCTCGGACTGACAACATTCCACGGACCAAGGTTTTGCCGAGTCCAACGTGAAATCGGGGGGGTCGACGACAACCCCAAGACCACAATACGGTTGGGTGTAGCAGCGGAAGGGAACACACGCACTACATCGCGACTTGGGAACCGCAGCGATTAGACCTACAAACAAGATTTGGTCCACAATCCCATCAAGATCAGTCGCGAGCTACGACTCGAGATCACCCCGAAATTCCTTTTGACTACCGATCACTGCTCCCGATGATTGCAACCGGATGACGACGACGACGATGAAGATGAAAAAAGGGCGGAAGACGGGGCGCCTTCGATGGTTCTGTTGATGGAAGGCGTGCGTTTGTCTCGTAAGACCAACATGCCCTCGAGAGAAAGCGATGGGGGGACGGTGCAATTTGGGGACAGAGTCATCGGAGCCAGTACGGACCTCACATGGCTGTGTAGGAGGGTCACTACAAAACCCCACGTGTGTTGAGCCTCGTTTTTCCATGCCCGTCCCGTCTGGGTCTCCAGACCATCATCTCTCGATTTTGACATCGAGCCC